CCCTTGGGGCAAGAGCATCTTCTTAGTCTGCTCATGGGAGCCTTGGCTGACCTAGCTGCCAAGTGGGCAGGCACTGGCCCTCAGTCGCCCCGGCAGGAGGGCACGTTGTTTAACAGCCAATGTGTGTTTTGCTCTAGACAGCAGCCCGTTCCTCGGCCATCAGCCTCTGGCACCAGCAGGGCACCTGGCTAGGAAGGAGAGCCGGCTCCTGGGAGGCCCTCTGCCCAGCCCCGCAGATCCCCTGGGCTCGGAACTCCTCAGTTTTTGCTACCTGCACCTGCGGGAGCGCAAGAAGGAGCCCAAGAGCAGGACTGACGTCAATGAAAACCTGATCCTCTCTGAGGAGTCCCGGCCCCGGACCAAATCGGACCCCACCTCCGAGAGCTCCGGGCAAGACTGCCATGGGGCTGCCCAGGACTGTGAACCCCACGGCCCAGAGCAGCAGTGCTGGGCCAACAGAGCCAGGGCGTACACCCTGGACAGCCAGCAGGGCAGCCAGCCCCAGCACCTGTACTGTGACTCCTGCAAGGCCCAAGTCAAGCGCCTGCAGCCAGCCCCTCACCGAGGCGGCCATCGTGGCCCCACCCAGGACAACATGGTGGACCTGACCTCCCTCCCCCCTCCAGGGAGCGATGAAGAGGAGGATGAAACCACCTCCCTTCTCCCCATTGCTGCACCGCCTCCCGGCTTCCAAGACAACAGCTCTGACGAGGACGACTCTAAACGCCGGGTGTCAGCCGCCGCCGCCGCCGCCGCCATGGCAAAAGGGCAGGAGCCAGGACGCCAGCTCTGCAGCCTCCTGTATGAGGAGATTCCTGTGACGCTCATAGATAGCATGCCAATGCGGACAGTCCGAGATCACGCCCAGGACCTGGACGATGCTCTGGTCTCTACGCTGCAGGCCCTGGAAGCTCTGGCGGCCTCAGAAGATGGTGCGGCCCCACAGCCGCAGCAGACGGCAGGTACCCCACCCCCTTTTTTAAGGTGGTTCCCATCAGATTGCACCCAGCAAAACAGCAGCACCTCCCAAAACCTGCACGCTTAGACCAAAGGGAGGGGCACTGGCATAGCTGCCTATGGAAAAGGGGAGGTGGGGTGTCGGAAGGACCCTCATTCCCAGGGCGGAGGTGCAGTCTGTGGCTGGAGCCTTCCCAAGAGCTCTGAGGGCAGCAGCGGCTGCGCATTGGAAAGACCGGACTGACTGAATGCCTCTCCAGCATATTTTAGAGGGGCTGCAGCAGTCCATCCTCAGGGAAGAGGCCAGAATGCAGCACAGAAAAGGGCTCTTAAAGCGACATTAAGACCACCACACCAGCCCCCGCCAGCTCAGGTTCATCATCTGGGGAAGCTGGGCTGGCTGCCCAGATAACCCCGCAAAGTTCCTCCTGAGCCCGTGCCAGAACTTGGGCCTCCAAAAAGATGAGAGGTCCAGCAACAGCCAGCATACGTGCCCCCCCCTTCCCCCCTGGGCAGCTTTGCCTTTGAAGCAGTGACACATAGATACAGACCCACACAGTGGCGTATCTTCCTTTCATTTAAATTAGCAGCATTCTCCCCTTCCTTTCCGCCTCCCTGGTTGGCTAGGGCAAGCAGCCAAATTCATCCAGGGGCTGAGGGTGGGCTTGAGCTTCCTCTAGGAGGAGGAGGAGGGCTTTCCCCACCCGACTAAAGAGCATGCCTTCTCCTCCTCCAGGCCTCATCGTTCTGGCTGCCATCACCCCAGAGTCATCAATGGACTCCGGCCACGAAACCAACTCGTCTGAGATCCCCGCCGTCCCTGAGATTCTCGCCGCTGTGCAGCAACGCCAGAACGCTGCCTTCTTCCTGACTCAGCAGCTTAGCAAGGAAGGCCACCTGGCCCGGAAGGACCTTCCTTTCCGCATCCAGGCTGGTTGTGCCCACGGGCCGCCTTGGCATCGAGAGCCAGACCCAACCTCAAATGCCAGCTGCACTACAATCGAGCGAGAAATGGAGAAAGGCTGTGCCCAGCCCTCACAGCAGATTGAGCTGCCCAAAGCCAAAGGGACAATGCCCGAGCCCAAAGGCTCCATCCCCTGTGGAGCAGCTGCAGCCCCACAAACCGTGGCCGTCCCTGCCCTAGGAAACAGCCACCCGGAGAGTGGGCAGAGAGCAGCTCCTGTCCTGATTGCACCAAGTCTGCAGTCAGTCGGCCACAAAGCCTCCCTTCCAGCCGCCCCCGCCCCCGCCTTGCCCACGGAAGGCAGCACTCCCCCCTGGGGTCCCCAGGCCTCCTCTGTGGGCCGGCTGCCTCCCAGCCTTCCCTGCTCTGGAAAGCAGCCAAGCAGTGAGGCCTGCCAGTGGAACCCGGGACTCCCAGGCAGTCCCGGAAAAGTGGTTCCCCCTCCCCTGCCAGCAGCAGAAGAGGAGAAGCAGGCACCCCAGAGCTGCCAGCCAAAGGGGAGGCCAGAGTGGGCAGGGCAGCTGGGGGCAGAGGAACTCCTGGGCCAGGGAGAGGGTGCCAAGCCACCTGGCCAGAGAGAGACACTCGTCAGCCAGGAGGAAAAGGGACAGCACGAAACTGGTGCCAACAGCCGCAGCACCCTGAGCCCCCCATCCTGCAAGAGTCCACAGGGTGCCAGCAGTCCCAGCGGGGAGACTCTGAAGGGGAAGGTCCCCCCAGGAGGTGCTCAGACCGGAAGCCTGCCCTCCACTTCCATGCTTTCAAAAAGGCCCGAAAAGGCGCTGGCCATTACAGCACCAGACTCGGATCTCCCGGCTAAGCCTAAAGTGCCCAAAGCATCCTTCCACTTCAAGAGCCTCATTTCTGCCACCTTCCCAACCCGACTCAGGAGAGAGACCGATGAGCGGCAGGCTCAGCTGCAGAAAGTGAGGCAGTACGAGCTTGAATTCCTGGAAGAGCTGCTGAAGCCAAAGGCCAGGAGAGACCCCGTGTCTCCGGATCATCTGGACCCCTCGGCCACAGGCCGCTGCACCTGCCAGGTCCGGACCAGCCCCGTGCAGACTGTGCCAGGGATGTCCAGGGAACAGAGGCGGAGTTGTGACTGCAAGCGGCTCAGCCGAGGCACCAGGCCCCTGCCCGGCCAGCCAACGGCACCAGGCCTGGAGAGGCAGAGCAGGAGCAGAGAGCCGCCGCAGGCAGAAGGGCCAAGAAAGGCTGCTGCCGGAGCCCCTGCCAAGGGCAGCCGTATCAGATCCACCAGCCTGGAACTGAGAGGTTGCCGGCCTGGCCCTGAACACAGCCTGTCGTGCCTGACCACATGTGCCTCTCCTGGGGAGTGCGTAGGAGCTCCCCACTACAAGAAGTTGATGCGGCGCTACAGCGTCAGCGAAGTTGAAAAGACGGAGCAACCCTGCCCAAGTTCTCCAGGCTACCCAAGCCATTACCTGAACAAGCTGAGGGAGGCCCCTGCCCAAGCCGCTGCCTCGAAAGGTGAAATGCAGGACCCCCACCCCGCAGCTGCAGACCCCTCTTATGTCGAAGTGACTAAGAGCCAGAAAGGCGGTGCTGGGCTTCCTTTTCAGGAGGACATCTATCCGAGCCCCCCCAGACTGCCAGAGGAGGATGGAGACAGGCAGAGGTGCTGCTCCTTTTGGTACTGCTTCTACTACAGGAAGTGCGACATGGCTGATGATGATGGGAGTGAAAAGGATGAGCTTTCTTATGCCATTCCCATGCAGATCCTCCCAGAAGGGAAGGTCGGCCACCAGGCAATCCCAGTGGTGAGCAGAACCCTCCAAGTCCTGGATGCCAGTGTCTGCAGCTCTCCAGACAACCAGACCCAGGAGATAGACCTGCGGAGCTCTTCCTTTGAGGGCAGCCTGGCCAAGATCCACGCCCTGAAGGGCCGCACCTACACCTGGCCCAACGGGTTCCTGGCTGTGCAGCTGGACACCAGTGAACTCTTGACCATCCTCCGGCAGTGCATCATGAGCCCCGAGGCCCAGGAAGGCAAAGCGGATCTCCCTCAGTTGACTGGGTACAAGCAAGAGTTGGCCCTGAAGTTCAGGGACTTCCGGGCCTCCTGTCGCCGAGTGGCCGCGGTCAACAAGAGCCCAACCCACATGCTGTTGGCTGTGAGCAGCAGCTTCCAAGTGCTGGGAGGCTTGATCGAGACCTTCGTGCGGCTGGTGAACGTGCTGCGCTCGGGCTCGCAGCGCCGGGCACTCTTGGCCAAAGTGGAAGAGATCGTGAGGAACTACACGTTCTTGCTGAGAGCTGCCGAGGAGTCCACCGCCCGAACCGCCCACCGAGGGGACCAGGAAGCCGAGCAGCCGAGCTCGGCGGCCTCCGTGGTGAACACGCTCACGCGCTCCCTGAAGACACTGATGAGCAAGTAGATCAGTGTCTGCGCCGGAGTCCGGCGCTTGCCCAGCCGACACCAGGCGCCGCTGGGAGAGCGAGGAGGGCCGCCGCGGACCGAGAGGCGTCCCTTGCCCCGTAAGCCCCGGCTCGTCTCAAGGGCCGAAACCGCGAAAGGCTCCGGCCCAGGGAAGCCCAGCCTGGAGCTCCTGCTCGCCCCACCTCCCCAGAGAGGCCCCGGGGCTCGTCTCCGCTCCGGCCACCCGAAAGGCGCGGATTCGCCCGGCAGCCGCCTCGGCACTTGAGGCGGCTTCTCCCTCCGTCTGCCACGGCCGGGAACGGCCACGTCTTCGCGGCGGGAACTGCCGCGCGATGCCCGCGACCCCGGAAAGGACTCGGGGGCCCGGGAGCCTCTCGGCGCTTGGCCGAGCACAACGCCTCGCGTGGACTCTGCTCCCCCGCGCGACCTCGCCGCCGCCGGGCCAAAGGGGCTCGTTGCGCCGGCCTCCCCGCCAGCCGCCGCCGCCGCCCGTGCACGGAACCCGCCGGTTTTCTTTCGCAAACCCGGAAGAGTAAATCGATTCCTTCCACATGCCCCGCGTGGGAAATCTCCTTTCAGCAGCACCGCCCCTCCCCTCCCCGCGCGTGCGCGTTGCCAGGCGAGAAGCGGTGAGGTGACAAAGGGGGCGTGGCGCCAAGATGGCGGGCTAGCGCGCGCGGCCCTTCCGTCGGCGCCTGCGCGTTCGAGGGCCGCCCGTGCGTCGCACCGTCCCTCTAAGCGGAGCCGGCGGCCAGAAGGCGTAGGCCGCGCGGCGCTGCTGCGGCTGCTGCTGGATCCCAAGAGCGGCGGGCGGGAGCGCCGCAGGGAGGCGGCGGAGCTGCTGCCGGTGCCGCAGGGAGGCGGCGGGCCCGCGGAGCGCGCCTCGTCCTCCGCCGCGTCGCGCTGCCTGCCGCCGCTACTGGCCAGGATGCCCAACATCAAGATCTTCAGCGGCAGCTCGCACCAGGACCTCTCGCAGAAGATCGCCGACCGGCTGGGCCTCGAGCTGGGCAAGGTCGTCACCAAGAAGTTCTCCAACCAGGAGACCTGGTGCGCGTGAGAAGCGGCGCATGCGCGGGGGCGAGCGGGCGGAAGGGCGGGGAGGGAGGGGAAAGGGGCGGCGCCTCACGCCCCGCCCTCACGCCCCGCCCCCGCAGCGTGGAGATCGGCGAGAGCGTCCGCGGCGAGGACGTCTACATCGTGCAGAGCGGCTGCGGGGAGATCAACGATAACCTGATGGAGCTGCTCATCATGATCAACGCCTGCAAGATCGCTTCGGCCAGCCGCGTCACGGCCGTCATCCCCTGCTTCCCCTACGCGCGCCAGGACAAGAAGGACAAGGTGCCCCGCGCCCGCCGCACCCTCCTCCCGCCGGCCCGTGCCCGGCCCGCCCTGACCCGCCGCTGCCTCTCTTGCAGAGCCGGGCCCCCATCTCCGCCAAGCTGGTGGCCAACATGCTCTCCGTGGCCGGCGCGGACCACATCATCACCATGGACCTGCATGCCTCCCAGATCCAGGTTTGGGGGCGGGGCGGGGGCTCCTCTGGCGGGTTGGGCCTTCAAAGCCTCCCGCCGGGTGGGGAAGGAAGGAAGGGGGCGCCCTGCTCCGGGAATGGCCCGAGGCCCGACCGAAGGGGGGCTCGGAGCCTCTGGGCTGAGGAGCTGCTTCCTTTCCCCAAGGGCTTCTTCGACATCCCAGTGGACAACCTCTACGCGGAGCCTGCTGTCCTGAAGTGGATCAAGGAGAACATTGTGGAGTGGAAGAACTGCACCATCGTCTCTCCTGATGCTGGGGGAGCCAAGAGGTGAGGCGCCCGGAGCAAACGGGGCGGAGGCCTGTTTTGCAGAACGGCTTCCGTCTCAAATTGTGGCTGTGGCGAGGTCTTGATTAGCGACTTCCTTGGGGAGAGAGCTTTTCCAAATTCAGAACGCCCCTGTATTGCTGTCGACTTCCAGAGTGATGTTTTTCCCGGCTCTTGACTTTTTGTAGAGAACCTCAGTCAGAGAACGTCTATGTGTGACACCCAGGTCCCCACCTGACCATTGGCCTTTGAAAAGGCAGTTGCAAGAGGCTGCTTGCATTCCTAAAATGCTTTGACTGGGAAACCCTTTTGAGAAACGAATTTTCTTTTGGCCAGCTGTTGGCTCTGCTATTCCTTGGAACCTCGGCATTGGAGCAAGGGGCTCTTCTGATTGTGTAATGATGCATCTGGTGGCACTGAAGAAAGCTCATGTAGGCATTCCTAAATAGTGAAAGAGGGCTCTGTTGTGAGAATTGCAGGACAGCCATTGTGCTGTATGTTGGTTACATGGGTATGTGCTGCTGGCAGAGTTCACAGCAGCCTTGCTCAGCCGGTGCTTTTGGATGGATGTGAGGTGGCAGTGCTGATAAGAATTCAGGGAGTTGGCATAAGAAGGGGCAGGATCACCACCCTTTCTGGAAATTGACAGTATGGACCTATCTCTCCACAGAGTGACCTCCATTGCCGATCGGCTGAATGTGGACTTCGCCCTTATTCACAAAGAGCGGAAGAAGGCCAGTGAGGTAGACCGCATGGTGCTGGTGGGGGATGTGAAGGACCGGGTGGCCATCCTTGTGGATGACATGGCAGACACCTGTGGCACCATCTGCCATGCAGCAGACAAGTGAGTATCCTACCAGAGTGTAGGCAGCCATCTGGGGTCAACAGGGTGGGTGCCTGGTTCTGTCCTGGCTGATTCATTCTCCCTCTCGGCCTCATCCTGCTTTCTTGAATGCAGTTTTGTGTGCTGAAAGCAATAAGGGGCTTATGGATGGTAAGGCTGCAGCAAAGGCCCATCGTTTTACTAATGGCAGATTGGAATGTTTGATTTATTCAACAAGGAGCAGCCGGCTCACCCAGTAAATGCTGCCTTCTGTTTGACTTCCACATAGGCTGCTTTCAGCTGGGGCTACCAAAGTTTATGCCATCCTGACTCATGGGATCTTTTCTGGGCCAGCCATTTCCCGAATCAACCACGCCTGCTTTGAGGCAGTTGTAGTCACAAACACAATCCCCCAGGAGGACAAGATGAAACACTGCCCTAAAATCCAGGTGCGGCTACAGAAGAACAGGAGAGTCTGGGCAGCTTGCAGGCTCCAGATAACTTGACTTGTTGCTTCCTCTTCCTCTGCAGGTGATCGACATCTCCATGATCCTGGCTGAAGCCATCAGGCGGACTCACAATGGGGAATCGGTCTCTTACCTCTTCAGTCATGTCCCTTTATAACTGTAGATGCTGCTGCTTGGGTGGCTTTTTGAAAAACCAAAATTTGTTTTAAGTTCAGTAGATGTTGCTTGTTTGATTGCTTCCTTTCTACTTCTCAAGAGTTTGGCGGAGGGGTGAGGAGTTCTTGATTCACATTCTCAGCCTCTCCATTGACTGGGAGCTTTTATGCAAGTTGGGCTTCTTGTGAAGCTATTGGCCTCTTAACTTGGAGGAGAAGAGAACCAGTTTCCAGTCATCCACCGTGTCCTTGGGAGGGTGTAGTGGCTAGTTGTGCAGGTCAGAATTACATTTTGGTTATACCTAGAGTGGTCGCTGGGTGCAAGAGTATGCAGAGAAAGGCCTTTCTGTGCCCAAAAAAATATGGCCGTGTTTTGGGGTTTGCCTTGACTGGAACTTGCCCTCCTATCGTCCCCACCCCTCTTATGTCCAGTTCATTTCCAGAAGAGTGGGTTGGAGTGTCCCCCCTCCTTTTAAAGTCTGCCCAGGCAGCTTGTGATCCTGGGGCATTCTGTGCCCAGTTGCTTTCAGGTGTGTCTCTTGGCACCTACGCGGTTCCACCTGGCAGCAGCAGAGATCATTTCAGAGCAATGGGGCCTGCCTCCCTTTGAGAGGCAAAAGCAGCAGACCATTATCCCCGCCCCGAAGGTTTTCAGAGCGTTTGAGGAGAGGAGAAACGCGGCTCCCAGAAAAGCAGGGGTCTTTACAGCCTGGGCAGGCTGCCTCTGCTGCCACAGCACTTCAGCTGGGTTCTGAGCAGCAGCTCTCTTGATTGTATGCCCGTTGCTGTGGCGTGTGTGCATGTATCTACCTACATATATATCTTTATTTTGCTGCTTCTTTGGGCCCTTCCTGCTGCCTCTGCTTCGCTTCGGCTGAATCCCCAGGATGCCACTGTGATGTTTGTGTTACTCAGAACTTCAGAGCAGGAGGAATTAAACTCTTCCTTAAAAATCAAGAGCTTTCTGGATGCTGTTCCCACACGCACCATATTCTGGCAAGATTCTTTGGGGTGCAGCACTTTCCCCCAGCGAAAACAATAAAGGAGAGTGGGGAGGAATAGGCCTCCATATGGGTGAGCGTACTCGTAGGTCATCCTTGGGACTATATGGGTATCCGTGACAGTTGGAGCCAAACATGTTGGGCTGCTTCCTTTGATGCAATGCAAGCCGTTTTTCAAATTAGCAGCCATTGTTAACTGAAAACCTCCTCCAAATTCAATCCATGGCAATATCTTTTCAGGGTGCCAGGGGGCTGGCAACTTGTACCCTTTTGGTGAGGCACCTATGAGGCAACTAGCGTGTGTGCCTTCAGGTCAGCAGCTGTGCCACACCAAGTACCTATGTACAGCATATAGGACCTACTGCTTGAGCCAGGGGTTGGACTAGAAGGCTGCTTGTGGAAGGGCATCTCCTGGGGGAAAGGACAGGCTGTTCCTCTCTCGTCTTATGGGCTTCTCTTGTCCCAGGGGGCGCAAGTAGCCAGGGGGACAATGGCTAACACGGCTGGAGAAGTGTGCTATCCAAAGGACAGTGCCGGGCGCAGGTCTCTTGTATGTGCAGAGTTGGGGGTGGGTGGGTGTCCCCATTCTTCACACACCCTGGAAAGCACATAAGCCAGGAAGCCAAACTAACACCCGTGGATATACTCTGCTCCCCTGTGGCAGTTAAGATGGGTGTTCCTTTGGGATGAACCAGCTCTTTGAACAGTAGGTGCCTCTCGCTGCTCCACCGGCAGCCTCCTTTGCTCCAGGGGTTTGGCCAAAAGAGTGTATTTCAAGAAGGCTCCCCCGAGCTTGCAAACGGGACCGGAACTAAGTTCAGTTGTCCGTGACGGTCCGTTGCCAAGGAACTATTCTTTCTCCTTCCTCTGGCTGAGAAGGAAGTGTTGCTGTCAAGGCAGAATACGTCGACCAGAGTTGTGGAGATCAGTTGTACAATGGACCAAGGCAGAACTGTGAGGAAGTGGCAACACGGTGACTGCTACCGCCTCTAAAAAATCCAGTTACCCCTCTACGGTCCCACGGTTCTGGTAGCTCTCCAGGCCCAGGAGTTTCCCCTTTGGCGGTTCAGAGTACTGACTTTTCCACTGTTCTCTGGCATCCCCTTGGGAAGCCAGAGGTGCTCCTTTCCTCTCTTGGCTTCTGCGTTCACTATGGAGCCTTGTGCCTGTCCAGGTTCTAACAAGAGCCCAAGCAAGCAAGCGCTGTTGAGACGACCCAGTCTCTTTATGCAATCGTTTCGGCACAGAATGAATGCGAAAGCAGCTCTGGGTAATTCCCAGGCAATATAGTACAATTAAAATATAGAATCTTCCCTCCCCCCATTAGTGCAGATCACGTTGTCCAATTAGATGTCCAGGTATCCCAATCTCTCCCTCCTCCCCTCTACCAACCTTGGCAAGCTGAAGCCAAAGGAAAGAAACCTGAATTGAAGCGAGTGGGAGGCAGCTGCGGAAGCCCCACCGGAAGCCCTGGGGGTGGAGCTCTCGGCAGAGGGAGGAAGATGCTGTACTTTGATCTCTGTGCAAAGGAGCAGAGGCATGTGCAGAAGAAGGTAAGGTGCCATGGGCTGCTGTGGGGGCGGAGGGGGGGGGCAGCACCCCCTGAGGCATTTCAGGTTCAGAAGGAAGGGGGCCGCAATTTGCCTGGGTCTGGAGGAGCGGTTCAGGCACTCTCAAGGCTAAGGAGCTGTGGGGACCATGGGACCGGCGGTGCGGGAGAAGCCGTTCAAGGAAGGGTGGCGTCGAGAAATGGGCCAGATCAGATGGAACCGCAGAGGGTCTCTCTCCCCTCCCCACCGCATCTCATTGGAGGGGGGTAGAGGCCGTTGGGTATTAACTCCGCTTCAGCCCTCCTCCCGCCTGTGTGACCGGGAGTGACTGCTGGGAAGAGTTTGGAAAGCAGCTCAGTTTGAATAATCTATTACAGCAACAAAGATGTAGTGAGTCCTAGGGTTTCCCTGTGCTCCAGGCTCTGGAATTGCAGTAGGGTGACTGATGATGGAGGGGAGACTCCCTCAAAGGATAGGACAACAGGCTGGGCTTACGTTGACTTCCCTCTGCTGCCTGAGAGCCCTTCTGGGGGAGCAGCAGTTCTCCAAGGAGTTGATTTCCTCAATTGCTTTATTCAGCCTTGTTGATTTGAAGTGGTGCCTAAGGAACAGAGGCCAAACCTATGGAGAAAAAAACTAAATTTTAGCCAAAAAGGGATGAGAAGGGACCAAGTTCTAGCATCCACAAAATCCAAACCCATCTCCAAATGTAATGGAACGTTCTTAATATATTTGGGGACTGCAAGAACTGCTCCAATATTTAACTGGAGGAATTTCAAAAACAGGGTTAGTAAGAGTAGATTTGAGTATCGTGGTTCAGAAAACTCCACAGGATGCAGGAACAGAATCAGCAACCTTTAATGGAAAATATCTCATGCTGGGCAACGCTAGCCTGGCAGCAAAGTGTCCCAAGGTCTGAGCATGCACCTGCACCCTTGGAGTCCTGTTAATTTGATATTTTTATGACAGCGTTGAGCCAATACGAAAACTTTGGTTTGCTGATTATCTTCTGAACCAAAAAGGCCCCGCCTGCTTCTCATTCCTGCTTCTGAAATGGACATAACTATGTATTTTTTGCTTAACAAAGGGTCAAAACCACTCCTGCTCGAACAGGAAGTTGGTGAGCAGGGATGTAAAACCAATTGGATTTAAATTGTAAAGCAGGGGCTCCCGATCTGGGGTGCTTGCACCCCCTGGGGGTGTGAGACGATATTCCAGGGGGTGCGAGAAAAGTCCAGGTAAATAATAGGATATTGGCTATATGTTGGCATTTTTATTTATTATGCAATGGATTAACTTAGTTTTCATTTTAGAGTTAAGTATCGTTATTTAGTGGCTGTCACATACATGGCTGAAAAGATTCAACCCTACCATATATTTAACACGTTCAGTAGTTCCTAAAGTCTAAATTTCAGGGGGTGCGAGGTTCGAGTGAAATTTCTTTAGGGGTGCAGGGCGAAAAAAAGGTTGGGAACCACTGTTGTAAAGGGTCTAGTAGACAATTCTGGAACAGCTTCAGAAATACAGCTCCAAGAGGAACATCTAATTATCGGAGCATAAAGAGACTTATGTAGAAGCAGCCTTTTGTGAACAGTAGGTTGCCTCAGCAAAGGTTGCAAAAAGAGAGAGAGAGAGAGTGTGTGTGTGTGTGTGTGTGTGTGTGTGTGTAGAGAACATCTCAGAAGTCAAGCCTCCCTGGCAAAACCTGTGTCCCCAACTTCAGGCCTACAGGCACAGATTCCTTTTTATTTAAAGGTTAAATTTTAATTAAAATTGGGAGGGGCTGAAATCTTTCCCCCACTCACCCCTTCAGACGCAGGGCTCTGACCCCTGCACTGCCTCTGTTCCCACAGAGAAGTCGGGTGCTCTGCATCAATGGAAGAGAAGGAGACCAAGAGGGGGCAAAGGGATTTTAGCAGTTACTTTGTGGGTGCTGCCTCCAACAGTCTCTCTACCCTGGCAACCTTCCCCATTTACAAGACCATCTTCCGCCAGCAACTGCACGCCTTCTCCATCACTGAAGCAGTGTGCCAGCTGTACCACGAGGGCTTCTACCGACTCTATCGTGGCATCTTTCCACCCCTCGTGGTCAAGGCGCTGCAAGGATCGTTGTTGTTTGGCACCTACCACAGCTTCTACGGCCTCCTCTCGACTCAGTCGTTGGGGTCCAGCTCCCGGAGAGCCATAGCTGGGCTGTTTTCTGGCTTCTTAGAAGGCTTGGTTTTCTGTCCCTTCGAGAGGGTGCAGAATGTGCTCCAGGATCAGAGGAAGGACCAGATGTTCCCCACCACACGTCACATCCTGACCACCTTCCATTCCTACCCTCTCGGGAAGAGCTTCAGCGTGGGCTTCTACCGAGGCCTCGGGCTGATCCTGATCCGCAACAGCCTGGGGTCCTCCCTCTATTTTACCTTGAAGGAGCCCCTCCAGAGCAGCTTCTCCACACAGAGCTTGCCTGTTGAAATCCCAGCCTTTCTATCAGGCAGCATTACTAGCATGTTGGTGTCCCTGCTGCTCTACCCGCTTGGCATCCTCATTACCAATGTGCAGTCCCAAGTGGGAAAGCAGGAAACCCTCAGCCTCCTGGCCACCATGACTCAGGTCTGGCAGGCCCGGGGAGGGAAAGCCCGGCTGCTGTACAGGGGCGGATCTCTCCTCATTCTCCGCTCAAGCCTCACCTGGGGATTAACAAATGCCACCTATGAGTTCCTGTCCAAGGTTACAAGCTAAGGACTGGTTGTGAAGGTGGGGCAGGAGGGAGCAACTGACAAACATGGTGTAAGTGGAGAAGGAAAGGAGAATTGCCCCACATGCAGGCATGGGAATTGAATGGTACTGAAGCACAGAGCAAACTCAGACTTGGGGGATTTGGTTCAGTTGGAGACATTGTAGAAATCTGAAGGTTGCAAGCACATCTGGGCCAAGTTGACTTCACTGGAGCTCCAGAAAACTGCTGGATCTCCATGGGCCTGCAGAAAACATCTTTTACTTCCCTGCAGAGCCTGGGGGCGGAGGGGGAGAAATCATGATTTCTGCTCTTACATGCATGTTGCAAGCCAGACATCACAGCAGAATTAAACCCCAATAAATATACTGGGGTGCATTATTTGTAACCCTAATGTCAATTTGTGAATGAATCTCAGGCTTAATTATTGGAACCATGTAATCAATTATATCAGCCAACTTTGTCTGGGAGCCTTTGGAGAAATAGCAAGTTTTGTGTTTAGTTAATAGTTAACATTTTTATAAACTTCAGCTGAGCTGAATTTTAGTGGCTTACATTAATTTGGATACTTTCATAAGTGTAGCTATTAATAAGCTGGCCTATTTGTTACATCCACATATTCCAGTAACCACTATCTCGATTGGAAGCCCACATACACACATAGGCACACCTTAACTCTTATTGGCATAGAAAACGAGCACAACTACCCGCCTTCCCACAATGCACTAGGAAATCGTTTGCAACCTGCGAGGAAGAATATAGAATAGACACGCGCTGTCTTACCGCAACACCTTATTACTTTATTTAATTAGCTTTAAATATGTAACGGTAAGTTCACATACCCTCTTCAACCCCCAAAAGGCAGCCGACCACCTGTCGAACCCGCAAGCTCGGTTCCGCCGCTGGGCGGTGCGCAAACCCGCATCTCCGGCCCGGGCAACGGACCTCGCCGGCCCGCCCACATGCAAGGAGGCAGCGGCGGCGCTTAGTAGGGCGGCGGCGTGAAGGTGGCTGCTGCCCCTTCCCGTTTCTGGCGGGCCGAGGGCGCCTCTGAGCCCATGTGGAGGAGGAATCGGGCGGGCTCCACCAACGCAGGGCCCTGGTTCGGCCGAAGGGAGGAAGTCCCGTTACCGAGAAGCCCATCCCAACAGCAGCGTTTCCCGCAGGAAACCGTCCCTTCTTCCTACAGCCTCAGGGAAGCCGGCCTCGCGCTCCGCCATACGCTCAGATCTGCGCATTCAGCCGGACTCCCGCCGAGGCCCCGGGGAAACTCCCCGCCCCCCATCCCGTGCTCGCTCGGAGTCGGCGGCCGCGAATGGTCCCTGAATTACAGCTCCCATCATCCGCAGCGAGCCCCCTGCGAGAACGGAGACCGATGGGTTCTAGCGAGGGTGACGCCCTGGGCAGCCGTGGGGCTCGGGGGCAGCGGCGCGGTAGCCTCCCGCCGCGCCCTGCTGGTAACCCGGGGAGGCCTGGAGAAAAGGCGGGGTGGGGCGGGGCGCGCACCCCGGGGGTAACGCAGGGCGCCACTGACCCTCTGGCGAAGGAAGCGGCAAGGCCGGCCGGACATCGCTCAACGCTGGCCGGGCGCGCCTCGGTGCGAGTCGGCCGCCATGCCGCGGCGCCCTCCCCGCTCAGGAGGAAGAAACTACACTTCCCGAGATACCCCGCGGTCCGGCCCCCAGATATAAAGGGACGCCCCGACACGCTGGCTCAGAGAGCGCGGAAGTCGGAGGCGTCTTTGCAGGTGACTGGTGGGGCGGGCGGCCGGGCGGGCTCCCTCGCCCCGCGGAGGGCACTTTCTCCCTTGGGTGTGGCGGGCTCTGAGAGGCGATCGGGTGGGCTACGTTAAACCGAGCGGCGCTTCCCGGACGAGCGGGGCTCGGCAGCGGGGCGTGTCGGAACTTGGCTTGGGGCGAAGGGGGCAGCGGTGCACCCCGGGCTTGCTCCCCACCCCGGGCCCCTGGCTCTGCCACTCCGCCCTGCCTGCCGGTCTCCCCGGCCTGTCCTGCGGCTCCCTTGTTCCAGGAAGCCCCGCGAGGCACCCTGTGGCTTTTTGCAGTTCTGAAAGTATCGGCTTCGCTTCCTGCCTGGCCAAGATGTGCGACAAACCGGATCTTTCGGAGGTCGAGAAGTTCGATAAGAAGAAGCTGAAGAAAACGAATACGGAGGAGAAGAACACGCTGCCTTCCAAGGAGAGTACGTGCTTGGGGAGGGGCCTCCAGCCGCTGCCACCTGCGCCCAAACTCCGAGGGGGGGGAAGAGCCAGGCTTGGGGAGGCCAACTTTTGGGGATCTGCAACTTCCAAATCTTCAGGCAGTGCTTCCTCCTCAGCCTAGCTGAGCCCTGCCCAACCCTGCTACGTGGGAGTTGGGCAGCCCGTCTCGGAGGTCCAGGTCCTCGGGAGGCCTCTGCCCTTGCAGGCAGGGCCTGTCCTGCTGAGATGGGATCCTTTCCCTGGAGTGGCTGAGGTGCTTCCTGTAGGGAAGGAGCCTTTTAGAGAGCTTGTAATCTTGAGAGGGTGAGCTGCCTCCCAAGCAAGGATGGGTTCCTTCCTTGAGCAGCAAGATCATCCGGGCTTGCGGCACTCCACCCAGGGAGGAGCTGGAGGACCAGGGCTTTAGAGCCCCACTACCAGAACCTGGGCCAGTGTGGGGGTCCTGTGGGAGGCAGCAGAACCAGAGTGCAGTTGGTTGCCCAGCAGACCTTGCCGATAGGTTTAGGGTCTCCAGAAAATGCCTTCTCTTTCCCCCTCGACCCCAGCTAGAGACTAGGGGTGGGGGTCTGGAAGGCAGGCTCAGTGCCTCTGAATGCTCAAGGTGCTTTTTTTCTCTCCTCAGCCATTGAACAAGAAAAAGAGGGTGCCAAGTCATCATAGACCAGCGGCATGAAGCTCTGATGTTTTTGGGGTTGTTTCTCTAAAACAACTTATATTTAAACTTGCATCTCACAAAATGCTGCAGCAGCCCATTTGTGGCTGCTGCCTCTTTGAGCCTCCCCGCCCCCCACTTTTCTGGGCTTGGCCGTGCCCTCTTCCATCACAGAAGAAAAAATGATTCACGGGAAATTTCTGGGACTTACCCAGTGTGATTCTCATAGTTTGCCTTTCTTGTCTGATGGAGCAATTTCATCAGTTAAATCCTAATTAGTAAAATTGTTTGCAATTGTTTTTGCAGCTTTACTTTGATTTCTGAAAAATGGAAAGAAAAATCTATTAAAATTTTTAAAATGAGTTACCTTATAACCGTCTCTTGTGATTCCTCCCCAGAGCCCCTAACTTTTGAAGGTATCTTGCTGAGGGTTTTTTTTTTTTTATATCAGTTTGGCCCAGGCCTGTGCTGTGAGTTGGGAAAGAATGGCACTTTTGAAGGGGGGATGTTCTGTTTGCTGTGGGTGGGGCAGAAGGGTGGAAGAGTCTGGGACTCTTCCTGGCAGAGGCATCGTCTTTGAGGAAATCAAAGATCCACCTGAGGTATCAGGCCGAGACAAGTAACCACTGGTCCAGGCTCAGGGCTTTGAGAAGGTAAATCTAGGTCTAAGCCAATCCTGAATAGAGAATGTAAGGTTAAAGAGACAGCCGGAGACAAGAGAGAGGTTTTAGAAGCAGAGCTACTAGCCTGCAGCCTGACATATGGGCCTCCAGAGGTGGCCTTTCATGTTCTGGCTGGCAGATGATGTGCCTAGAGCAGGGGTCCTGGTATGTTGCAGAGCAGTGCAAGAGGGCATCTTTGTAGCCAGGAGAAGATGATCAAGTTAAGAGACTCGACTTAAGAGAGCTGTGGTCTTCTAAAGAGGCCTTGATTCTTAGGTATTCAGGTGGCAATTTACAGTGATGAAAGAAAACTAGCAACCAGAAGGGAATAGTAATGATTGAGTACCAACACAGCAGCGAAGTTTGGAGGCAGCACTTCTGAGCTAACCACCCGTTTCTGGGCAGACACACTTGCTAATAGTGGAAGGATTTGCGGAGACGCCAAAAGCCTGAAGAAAGAGGAAGGGAGCAAAACCTGCAACTTCCCCTCTGCACTTTAGGCAAGAATGTTTTGGGTGTGCCTTCCTCAGACGAGTGGGGGCAGCTTGAGGAAAGGCTACATGCACTGAAAGCTTCACCCAAGACAAGAGCACCTGCTGGAAAGCCCTGCAGCCTCTCAAGGAGGCCCGGCTTGAGATAAGCAAAGCCATCCAGCCATTTCCCTAAACGATGGTCACCCTGCAGATGGGTCAGAAGTCCTGGGGAGGAAGAATGTCTCTGGTCAGGCCGATTGTGTGCTGGTGCTCGTTTGTTCAAGGAGGAGGCAGGCATTAGCCAGCACTCGGCACAGCAGCTGGATGGCTGCCTGGGACACAGACGGGCATGCCTAAACCAAGATCCATGTTCTGATCAGACGTGTGTCCTGATTCAGTGCACAGGAAAAAGGGGTGGGCAGTTCTCGGGAAGAGGCAAACTTGCCTGCTAGACTCCTCCATGGCCCCCTCCCAGCCTGGAACAGGCAATGAGGGAAATGGAGCCGCTCCCCTCCTCCCCTTCTTGAAGAGGGCAGAGCTGGCCCCCAGCTCCATTCTTCCAGCAGCCTTCAACCTGACCTGCCACAGAGGAGCCTCAACCTCCACCTCCTAAACAATCTTGTAACTGCTGGGGCCAGAGTGGTGGTAGAACCTTAGGGAGAAAAGCTACTGGATTTTCTGGTCTTTAATGCTGCATTGGTTCATCCCAGGAACTCCAGGCACTTTGGCGACCTCTTCAGCAGGAAGCCCCACTTCCACATCCTGGGTACAGACCGCCCATTTCCTCCTGCACCACTGCACTGATTCACTTATGCTGGGAGATCAGAATGATTCTCAGCAGGATCCCAGTTTCCTAGGAAAGACCACACTGCAGTTCAGTCTTGGAAGCTCAGCCAGCTGAAAGGGGTTTGAGACCAGCTGTTTCCACACAGCATGGAGCAGCATGGGGCTGGTCTGCATTGACTCCAGCTTGGCCAGAGCTTACTCTAAGTATGGACTGGGATACCTGGGAGGAGGAACCCAGCCCATCTAGTTAATTTAGGTCCATGATCTGCATAGATTCCAAAAGCATGGGCCTTCAGGAACCATGCTGAACTGCTCCACAAGGCCTTTTTCAGGGTTGGTTTGCTGTGGCCATTTGTGAAATGCAGGTGTGTGGAAGCCTTGGAACCCCCTGGCTGCAGCAGCCTGCTGACCCCATCCATCAGGATTCACCACTGGAATGCTCCAAAGTGCCCCTCTGCACGACAGCAACAACAGGCCCAGCCCTGCCAGTAGCTGTTTGCTTTCCAGGTGTGTGCTTCAGCTAACAAAATGTGCGCCAGACTTGGGCAAGGCCTGCCTCCTTCCTGCTCAGCTCCCTGGTGGAAGGTCGGGAGTGGGAGGCAGGCCGCTCCCTGAATGCAGAACAAACCGATCGGACAGGTCCGGGCTAGCTCGATAAGCGGAGACGTCACCAGCTGGGACCCGCTGCCTTTTCCTGTGGTGCCAGCCAAGCGTTATGCGGAACGGCACGGGAGGCGGCCGCAGGGCAGAGCCAGCCTCGCTGCCCCTCTCTAGGACGAATCCCGCCTCTTCCCCCTCGCAGACTGACTGGGAGGGAATTATCCGGCAGCCCCGGGCTTCGTTGTGCGTTCTGAACCGCCACTGTGAGGTGGAAAGCTGCAGACCCCCATTGCACTCATGTGCCGGGTCCCTCGCAGCCGCCGGCCTGAATTTCCTTCCGGGCAGAGCTGAGCCCGGCTGGAAGCCGCGGGGCTGCAGGGGAAGAAAGCCGCTGCCTCGGCTCAGTCGTCGCGCAACACGTGGCTCCAGGCTCCGGGCCCCGCTCAAGGCAGGGGGGAGCTGCTTGAAGGGAGGTGCGTGGCACGTGCTTCTTTCACACCTGGCCTCGCGCCGCCCCCGCACTCCCCCCCCATTCCGCCGGCCGGGCAGAGTCGCGGCCGGCCCTTCCGGAAGTCCGCCGGGGCGGGTCGGAGCGTCCCAACGTTGCCTGGATCCCTTCGCGCCAAGCAGAGAGGGCGCGACCGAGGGGCCGCCCTTTCACTGGAGCTGCAGCTGCCGGCGAAAGCTGCCGCGAGCGCATGCGCCCGGGAGATGCCAGGCCCCGGAGTCTGCCGCGGAGTTGCGGGCGGGAGCCCAAGCCGGCTGCGGGGCAAGTGCTCCGGGACGAGCCACAGCCTAAGGGTGAGGAAGACGTCGGGTTGGGGCGGAGAAGCGCCTGCCGGACGGGAAGCGTCGCAGCTCCCGGCAGCTTTCTGCCGGCGGCTTAGGCTTCGTTGCCTACCCGCGGCTGCCGGGCAGAGATGCCTGGGGGAGAGCAGAGGCTGCCAAGGCGCGGCGGCTGGGATTGGGCATCCCCCGCCCGGGCTCTCTTCCCCTGCGCTGCCCCCCCCCCCCGGCCCGGACGCCACCCGGCCCGCGGCAGCAACTTAGCGGAAGCGGGTGTGGGGGAAGTCGAGGCGGTTGGGCCCCGCAGAAGGATTTGCGGGCAAGACGGAAAGGGCAGGGCGAAGCGGCTCCCGGCTTGGAGCTGCCATCGGCTCCTCAGCGACTGGCCCCCCGCGTGCGGCGCTGCCGGGCTTCCAGATCAAATCCCGAGACCCGGCCGGAGCCCTTCCGCAGCCAGCCAGGTGGTTGGAGCCGGGCAGAGCTGCCGCCACCAGGCCAAGGCGCCTCTGACCTGCCAACCCACCCGCTGCGCCCGGGAAGGACTAACGCCAGCTGTGGGTTTGGCTCCTGGGAGTTGCCCCTGCGCCCCACCCCCCATGCCAGCCAGAAGCATTGGCTCCTCTTTTTCCACCCAGCCGCTGTCCCCAGAAAGGTGGGCTTCTGAGCCGGGAGACCTCCTGCGGGCCTCCTGCCAGGGAGCCAGCCTGGCACCTGCCTGCTAATCCTGCTCATTTCCAAGCTTGCTGCTGCCAGAGCCACCATGAGCGGGAAGTCCTCTTCCTGGGCGACGGGGGTGTCGGCAAGAGCTCCCTCATGAACCGCTATGTGGCCCACAAGTTTGACTCCCAGGCCTTCCACACCATCGGGGTGGAGTTCCTCAACCAGGACCTGGAAGTGGACGGACGCCTCGTGACTCTCCAGATCTGGGACACGGCGGGACAGGAGCGCTTCAAGAGCTTGCGGACCCCCTTCTACCGCAGTGCGGATTGTTGCCTCTTGACCTTCCGCGTTGATGACCGGCAGAGCTTTGAGAACCTGGGCCACTGGCAGAAGGAGTTTACCTGCTACGCCAATGTCAAGGATCCAGAGCACTGTGGTGCTGGGCAACAAGGCGGACAAGGCGGAGAGGCAGGTGGCAGCAGAGGAGGCCCGGGCATGGTGCCTGGCACATGGCAACTACTCTTACCTGGAGACAAGTGCCAAGGATGATACAAGTGTGGGGCGGGGGCTTTTGAGGAAGCAGTGAGGCAGGCGCTGGCCTCGGAAGAGCAGCTGGAGCGCTGCGTCCTGGGCCGCACGGTCGATCTGCACCGCAGTGCCAAGCCAGGCTCCTTGTGTTGCTGACAGGTGCCAGAGGAGAACTGGCTGCTGTTTACAGAGGGAGGGAGGGAGGGAGGGAGGGAGGGGGGGGGGGGAGGGTGCTCGGCTTTTCTCACCAACCTCACCAACCTCCAAAGATTTCAGGCCATTTCAGAATGTCTCTACAAATACAATGTGCTTTTAACGTACTGTGTTTGTTAGTTGCAAAAGAAGGAGCTTTGTTTGTGGGTCATTCCTAGTTCTGAGCTAATCTGAACACCCACCAGTTCTGCAAGGAGGGAAGGGCTGGCACCAGGGGCTCTGTGCCGTGCCCGGGAGAGGCCCCAGCATTCTTGGAAGAGTGGGTGGGAGTATGGAACAGCCATCTGGCCACACTGGGAGAGGCAAGGGCCACCCTCCTTCTCCCCAGAAAGCCTGCAGAGCCACGAGGTGGAGTGAGGCAGCATCCAGTGGAGCCTGAGAGTGATCACCCCTCCGTGCTGCTTTGGAAGAGAAAACCCTCCCACCCCCACATATGTCTTATCACAGGAGATTTCATCGGGTGGGCAAGTGGTTGGATAGACTAGATGGGTAGACAGACAGGTAAGACAGAGGTTGCCCCATACCCTCCAACACAGAGGCCGAGCATGTTGCCAAGGATTTCCAGGCCAGCATTGGCTCAGTAGCCAGCAAAATCCAATATCCCACCATTTCGGGACTCCTGAAACTTGCAAGGCTGGCTTCAATTTCTGCAGCACAAACTCTCCTCGTGGTGCATTTTTATCAATCTAGGAAGAGGAATCCAGGCAGTAAAACCTGATCTTTGCTGTCAAAGCTGTGGGGGATCACAAACCCCGTCGGCCTCTAGCGCCTTGATGGCCTTCTGAAAGCCAGGGAGGGCCAGGGATCTGAGCCCCGCTGAGAGGCCTGAGCCCTGCCCCAGCCCCCCTGGCAGGAAGAGGGAGGAGAGCAGCCAAGGAGGCTCTCTTGGGACGAGGTGGGAAAGCAGCCAGACAGGAAGGGAGCAGAGAGTTCTTCAGAACAGTCGTGACTTTTATTCCTTGAATATTACAAAATACACCTTGCAAGGTAAGTCTCAAAAAAACAAATTTGTCATGCTTTGTTAAAAAAATGAATTTCAAAAGGAGAAAGAAACAACTTAGCTTATTAGCTGGTTCCCCAGTGTTTACACTGAGGGATTTTGAAGGGCTCGAGTCCCAGTTATAGGCATTTCTATCAACGTGAAATATCAGGTATAGACAACTTCATTTGCCCCCAGTATTCGCTTCTGTTTTCCAGGTGGGCTCTGTTCACATGTGCATCCAGAGTGGGTTTCAGCTGCCTGGGCCAAGCCTGCTCAGCAGGGCTGCCCTGATTGTTAGCCATCCAGGGAACTGGCCCCCTGCTTGGCCATCTCCCCCCCCCCCCCCCCCCCCCCCCCCCCCCCCCCCCCCAAGGCTGGAGCCCAGCACTGGCTGAGCCTGGTTGGCCAGGGAGCTCCCAGCTGGGGCTTTGCTTCCGTGGACAAAAAGCCCCTCTTCGGGGAGGGCTTCAATGACACTTTCCGTCCATCCCTTCTTTCCGCTTGATTTAATTGTGTGAAGTTCAGGGACGCTCCTTTCCCAGAGAGTCCGAAGCCATTTTGTTTTGTGGAAATCGTGTCCAGAACGTTCAGGGCGTTTCTCTTCTTTTAGCCGTCTCTTTAGACAAGTAACCAAGACAGGAGACTCCATATAACTGGGGGCGGGGGGGGTGTTGGTGTTTACAGTTTGCCCAAAATTGGAAAGAATAATTATAAGGACAGGAATACAGGTTATATTCTGCAAATGATCCCTAATGAAGCGCGCACATGAGAGAAGCAGCAGTCACCAAGAGGACGGTCGCAGGCTGCGTTCCACAGCTAGTGGCAAGAGGGAAAGCACACGGCCCAGGGTTACGGTCCCCTCCTCTAACGAAGGGGCTCCTAGCATTAGACACGGAAGCTTTGGTTATGGGTGCTCCTAAGGCTGACCTCTGCCCAGCTGGTGTGGCCCAAGGAAGCTGGAGCCCATGAGCCTGGCTTGACCTACTCCTCAAAGGATGGGGAGGAGGGCCCCTTCCCCAGGTTCCTCGGGGCTCCGGGCAAGGTCGCCTCTCAACAAGGCAGCGGCTCAGTGCTCTCTTCCTGGGAAGATCCTGGCACTAAGCCCTCTTGCCCAGGAGACGGAGAGGTTGGCCTCGGGGCACCTTTGGTTCTCTGCCACCTCAGGTGCCACCCTGGGAGAAGGCTGTTGAACTAGCCTAGCCGGCTCTTCTCTTTCTCAGGGCGGCTCAGCTGGCTGACCAGACCCCCTGGCCTTCCTTTGGAGCAGGCAGCTCTCTCCCTCCTCCGGGTGTGAGGCCAAGAGCCCATGTCAGGTGGTCCTGGAGGAGCCCAGAGAGCTACGGGGAGATGAGAGCATGAAGCGCTGGAGCTGCGGTGCTGAAGAGACTCCTCCATCCTTGGGATATGGCCTGCTTCATTGGCCCAAGGGGGAAGGGCAGTCAGGTGGTATTAAAGGAGGAGGAAGAAGAGGAAGCCAGGTGCAGCGTGACTGCCTGGTTGGGTTAAAGCCTGGTAGTTAGAGGAGGAAGAGCATCTGGTGAAGGTAATGGCGCTCTCTCTTGCTCACGCTTAGAACTTTGTGCCTCTTCCCATCAGTCTGAGGACTGCAAAGTTGTAGGTGGCTGCAATGATGAAGGTGAGCTGGAGGGCAGAAAATGGGAAGAAGGAGGTGAGATCAAAAGGCCCTGAGAAAGACGTCTCCCTTCCCAAGCTCCCCTTGTGGCCCCAAGCATTTTGGGCTGCTTCTGCACTGGCCTAGAGGTCTCCTGCCCCGTCCGCACCCTTCCCTGGCAGAAGATGTGGCAACAGCCCCAGGTGTGACTGTGCATTCAAGCTCCTTTCAGTGTTGCTGCCCTGCTGTCCAGGTTGCTGTTTTGGACGTTTGGGCCAAAAGCAATTGCAACACTCCTGCCTCCTCCTTAACCCTCATCCCTGAATCAAAGGGGAAAGGCTGAGGGGACCCTTGGCTAGACTTACCAGGGCCACAAGAGTAACAGCAGCCCCCACGAATGCGGCAATGAAGAGATGAAAGGTCATCTGGAACTGCAAACACAGAGAGGTCTCAGCCCCAATCCCTGGAGGATGGGGGATCAAGGAGGACTGAACCCAGAGGTCAAAGGTCCAAAGGAGGCAGCGCTTTTCTCTAGGTGGTCAACCAACTGCTGGACAAAAGGGGCCTTCGCTGCTCTAGCGAGGCCACTCTTAGAGATAGCAGGTGGATTATCTTACCTGTCAGGCTGAATATTCAAAGTTGCAGGTGGGATCTTCTTTTCTCGTCCACATGTAAGAGGGTCACCTCCAAAATAATGCCCAGATGGCACCTTACATCCATTTTGCCCATCATATAAATAATATGGATTGTTGCAAGAACCAATCTGGGTCGGTCAGTGGGACCAGGACTTTTGGACTCGTGCAGGAGCCCATCTTCAAAGAGTGTGGATTTTCTTCACAAGGATGGTTTTTACTAAAAGGCAGCACCTGCCTGAACTACTAAGATGTGTTTGGTGACAGCTCGGTTTTTTAGCAACCTGCTGATTGTCTTGAACACAATGGATTATCTGCAAACAGCAGATTGCCAGTTACTGAATTACAAGTTAGTAATAGTTTGGTTTTGATTATTGGGTTATCAAAGAAGAGGTTGAGGAGGGGGTCCCAGTGGACCTTTGTAACCCAAGAATGGCCAGTGATGAACTCTCTGATGCAAAGATGTCACCACATTGCGGTTTTCTGTCAGAATCACATCAGTCTGTAGGCACTGTTGGCCTCTGCTCCCTTTCAACTGTCAGCTGCTGCACCTAAATTTATCTTCTTCCTTCTCTGACTCCAGAGGTGAAGTTTCCCCCGACTCTGCTGGCTTTCCAGAAGAGTGTGAAGACTTGGCTCGGACAACTGGCATGGGATCCAAGAGTGAGACCCAACCCTGGGCGATGGGGGGGGCGGGGGTTGAGGGCTGATAGTTATATATATATAATTATAAGAATAAGTATCCGCCTGGATGAACATAAAAATGCAGTCAAAAAGCTGGAACACACTTCCTCACTAGTCCAACACATGGAAGCCACAGGTCATAGCATCAACTTCAATGGCACCAAAACCCTAGCCACTATAGAAAACCCCAGCCACAGAATCATCAGAGAAGCCATAGAGATTGAAAAAAGACCAGAAAGCATGAATAGAAGAGATGATTCCACCAGACTGTCAATCATTTGGAAGCCTGCACTCACAAACAAAAAAATCTCCACACCACAAGCCAGGCAAACACCTGGGCACAGACAGATCCCCCGATACCTCCAGCTCAAACACACCCCAACCAGGCACCCAGATGAAACCTAGCATCCTAACTAATGATAGCCGTCCATTTACCCGGAGCCAAGCTGCACTAAAGGCCTCCAAAAAAGTAACACAATGTTGCCAGCCAATCAAGATACAAAAAGAGCTAAAAAACAGACAGAAGATATTAGAAACACCAATCAAGCAGAACACAGCAAACTCCAAGACCAATAAACACAGACCAAGATGGCCAACCAATCAGGGTGAAGAAAAAACCATTCTGGCACAGCAGTAGGCTAGCCCCAAATTTAAAACTGAAACGGCTGTGAAAGTCTGACTCACAGATGAACACAATACAGAAGCCTGATGATGGCAGATGAGATTCTGCCGAAACGTTGCTACAACTTTAAAAGTACAACTATAATGACAGAGAGAGAGAGAGGGAGGGAGAGAGAGAGAGAGAGAATAACCCCCCCCTTTTCCCCTTAAGAAACCACTTCCCTGGTTCTTTTTGTTTTCTAGGACAATCTAGTCCATCTTCCACTCCTTTGCGAAGCCGAAGACGCTCACCTCAGCAGTCTTGCAGATGGAGAGGAGACTTTGGCCGCAGACCCTTCCCGGAGATGCGTTCCAGGGCAGCACACCTGGGTGGAGCACAAGAGGCCCTGAGCACAGAGCAGTCCGCCCTCAGCAGGCCAGCAGGACTATGCAGATATGGGAAGCCCCTGGCATGAAACCCAGGCAAGACCCCGCTAGGCTGCTTCTCCCTCCTCCGTCTGCCTGGAGAAGCTAGGGCAGAGGGCTGGGGGCAGTCAGAAGGCCTAACCACATCCAGGCTTAACAACCCACTAAACCATTCAGGGCTTTGATTTTGGCTTAGTGAGGCCTATATAAACCTTGCTATTTGCAGCCTTTTCTGCAAGCCATAGTTAAGCAAACCAAGGCGTCACAGGATGTGGGAATGATAACCATTCCGGCCTCCCAAAGGCAACTTTCTTCTTGTTCCTCAGGTAGTGCCAGCAACCTTCCCCTATGCCTCTGGCAGGGAGGGACTTCCAGGTTCCCAGGACAGACTCCGATGAGGGGCCATCTGCTCACCAGAGCCAGAGAAGCACCCAGGCCTGTACAGCCTCTGGATGGTTGGTTGCCTCCCATTTCCAAGAGGAAATTTGCATTTGCTACTCACCATACATTCTGGCATCAGCACACAGGTTGCCAATGCTTGCTGAGGTCTTGGTGGGGTTGGCAATGGAGTTGCAGGTGGTCCAGGTGCTGAAGTAGACATAGACGGGGACGGCAGAGCAGGCCAGGACGAGGAGCCAAAGGACGGCCAAGATGTAAGTGATACCCACAAACTGAAACAGGCAGAACAGACAGGGGTCACCGCGGATCAGCTTGGAACCTTTGGCCAGAAGCGCATGAGACTGGAGATTTGCAGTGAGCCCACTTCCCCACCTCTTCCAGCCGGAAAGGGAAGGAGTCGTCCCTCCAGCCCCAATGGGACTGCCAGGGATTGCCGCCCCTCTGCTCACAGCTCTTGTTCTCTTCCTCTCCCACCCAGGTCCTCTCAGCACAATTGCTGGCTACGATGATGCTCGGTCATCTTCTCCCAAAAGGCTGGGGGTCTGCTGGGCCCATAGCAATTGACAGCATGGAGCAGAATGGTGACTGGGTGTCACATGGCATCTGATTTATGAGCTAACCTCATGCAATTTAGAAAGCTATGCATTTTATGTGCAGAGACGCTCCCTTAGTTGTGCACTTTTAAAAACAGGGAATGCTAGCAAGTCCCTCATCCCTGACACCTGCCCTTTCCTCTCCAGTGGCTGCTTTGCCCTGAACCTGGCCGCAGTTCACCAACTTTCACCCTTCACATTGGAACTTCAGTCCCTGGGTGCATCTCTGCAGCCTTCTTGAAAGGAAGACGACAGCTCCTCGTCTTGCAAAGTGGGACCCCCACCAAACTGGCCTAACTGTTTGAACGTGCTACTGGTTGGCTAGAGATCACAGCCCCCAGTATCTGAGCTCGTGCTCGATTGTGCAGAGACCCCCCTCCCCGGGTGCCAACCCTACTTTCCGGCTGGGACAGATGCTCAACGAAAGGCACACACAGTATGCACAAGTGTATCAGGAACCTGCTTATAACCTCCCAGGGAGCCAGCCCTCCGCTATGTGTGCTTCCAGGCAGGGATGGTGAGGGGTCTGTGAGGGGATGTGAAATGTGTGCGACATTTAGCTGGGTGCAAGAAGGTGCCCTGTGTGTGCCTGAGGGTGAGCATTTGCCCTAGAGGTGCAGAAGTAAGGGATCTTGAAAGAAAACAGCACTTGGCTTGCTCGGTTTCCCTGCCGGGGAGGCTCTTTCAGTGCCATGGAGCCTTTCCAGGCAAGACCTGTGGCTGTGCTAGGTCCACCCCGGCTCCCTCATTGCTTTGGCAAATGCCCCTCTACTCGTCCATAGCAGCCCCCCCACCCCCCAGTGCCTCTAGGTCCCTGAACCTGTGCGGCTGTTCTTTGTCCCTCCCCCCGGAAAGGAGTTTGCTTGGGGGCCCCCGAGGAAGGAAGGCCAGGACTTCCAGCGGGAGACGGGCCCAGCGCCACAGGCCAAGTAGGTCAAACAGTGCTTGGAAGTGCCCATTTGAGGCCTTCCCCACCACGCAATCAATGCTTGGTATCTCTGCCCTCCCATTCTCTGCAACACATTTGGCATGACTGGGCACCCTAGCTGGAGAGCTCCATGGCGAGGGCCCCATGCCCGGCACTCAGCCTTGGGATGCAAAGGGAGAGGGCCGCATTGCAGGCAGCTGGGGCCCAATCCTCCGGGTCTTCCTTGCAAAAAGGGGAGCACGAGGGGGGCGGGGAGGGAAGGGAGCCCTGCAGGGGATGCCCGTAAGTTGAGTGGACCAGTTAGTGCGGGCAAAGCCAATGGGGCAGCTGGGGAGGGGTTAGGAGGGGCGACATTCACCTGGCTGCAAGGAGGGGTGGGGTGGGGGAACGGCAGCCCTGTGCGGTTTTCTCTCTCAGATGCCACTGTCTGTTCCAGGGCAGCTGCTCTGCCTGTGCCTGGAGCCTTCTCGGGACCAGCCACCAGGCTGACCAGGGCTGCAGTCTCATGCCTGTCTGCCCACACCCACGCCCACGCCCAGCCAACCTGCCCCAGAAGACGCAAACTGCGGATAGATCACCTTGTCAGGATGTCCTAGCCATTTGCCCAAACAGTGACACACCAGCTCCCAAGAGTGAGCTTGACGGTGTCCTCTGGAACCCCTCCCCTTGTGGCCCCCTGTTACCGTAGCGCTGAGGCCCTTGCCACAGATGGTGGTCTTGTAGTCGCCAAAGATCTGCCTGACAGCGCCGGTGGTATAAAAGCCTTCGGCCAGGAGGAGGGCTCCGAAGAGGAAGAAGAAGCCGGCGATCCCGTAAATGGCGTATTGGAAATCGTGGATTCTATGAAGGAAGGCCACATTCAGGAGGGGGGAGAAGGGCAGGGCCCCCATCCAGAGCCCCCCCCCCCCCCCCCAGGAGCCAGGCTTTACAAAGCGCTTGGTCCCAACAGCAGCCTGGGTTTGGCCCAAAGGCTTAGCCTGCCACAGGGGAGCCCTCATTTGGCAGATGAGAGCACCTGGCAAAGCCTGGCTTTGGGTCACGGGATTCTGCCAGCCTCACCCCCACCCCACCGCCACCCCCAAGGCAAAGTTGACTGCTGCCCTATAGAGCTCTGCCTTGCCAGGTGGGCCCCAGCTGCCCTAGAGACCTCCAGGCGGGGCTTGGATGCCCACTGCACCCTTGCCAGTCCAGGATCTGTGAGCAAAGCCCTCTCCCTCCTCTGGTTGGCCACAATTGCCCTGCCCTACCTGGAGGACGCAGGCCTAGTGGGGAATACTTACACATCCACCAGGTACTCGTAGTCCTGGTAGTTTTTGGAAAAGTAGGTCTCGATCAGGTGCTCAGTGCCCGTGAGCGCTTCGTGGCCACAGCCACAAAACAGGGCCACTCCCAAGAAACACAGGCCCGTGGCTACCAGGGAGGCAAAGGGGGCTCCCACCAGACACCTGGCACAGCACTCTAATAAACCTGGGCAGAGAAGTGGGGGAGAGAGAGATCACCCATCTGTTCCAGCGGCTGTCAAAATGCCCTGCCCTGTGCAGAGAAGAGAACTTTTAGAGGCTGCATCAAGTCAAGAAGCTGAGACTGGATCCAAATCTGTGGGGCAACCGATCCTGGATCAACCTGAACAGCAAGCCCTGGGGCTGGGGGTCGAGGGTGGGGTGGACAGAGCAGAACGGGCTTTCAGAGAAACTGCCCAATTTTACAAAAAGGGCCCAAGGGACCGGTTTTAGTTTTGCATCCTGCTTTTCTCCCAAGGGCCATTCAAAGAGGCCAATCACGCTTTTTTCAGAAACGCCAGCTGGGACATCAATCCAGGGATACCAACTTCAAAAGCTTAGCCAGAGCCACATCCACTAAAAAGCCACATTGTCCCCTTCACATATTGGCTTCCTGGCCAGAGGAACCCCGTCTTTTCCTGCAGGCGGGAGGTCAAGAAAGAGGCAGGCAACCTCCTTTGGAAAAGAGCCCCAGACTTTAGGACCAGGGGCCTGGGGGGTGGGGGGGTGGCAGCTCTTCTGGCACCGTTTTGGCAGGGGGTCCCCACCTCTTCTGGGACATGCATTTGGGAGCATGGGGCTGCTGATTATTTGGGAGCTTTCTACACCTTCAGATCATTTTCTCCTGGTTTCAGGTGTGTGTTTTAGTTTTCTTCCTTTCTCTGCTGGTCTTAAAAGTGACACCTGCTGAAAAAAAAGGAGCCCTTCAGGCAGAAATTGCTCTGGGAAGAAGGTCACCGCTGTTATTGTTCTTGGGGGAGAGAAGGCAACGCCTCTGGCTGGGAAGAACAGTTAGCAAGATTTAAATCAAGGACTGACTTTCTCCCTGTCTGGCAAGGAAGTTGAATTTTGGACTGGTCAGAGTCTGGAAACCTTGACATGTCTGTTTGAGGGCTGCCTCTTCTAACGGCTCCAGGCAGCCCTCGGGGTCCATTACTCAGACGGTGGCCACTCGGTCTTTCTAGCGAGATGTCACACAGACAAGGCTGCCTTTCAAGCTGAAACCAAGATGGGGCTTGACCCTCGGGGGGCTCGACCGATTGGGCCCCTGCCTTGGAAGGGCTCCTGGGATCTACCTGAGGACACGGGACTCTGCATTTCCTCTGAATGGGATTGCGGGCTGCCCTCCCTCTGGCCTTTTCACTGGCAGGGAGGAGAAATGCCCGGTCATTGGTGACGGACACAGGCGAAGGCCCAAACGGAGTATTTCCCTCTGCCCTGGGCCAGAAACTGGCCTCCTGTCTGGCCTGCCTGCTGAGAGCTCGCTCAGAACTCCCAAGCCTGGCTGCTGTTTGTGGGCTTCGGGGATCCGGATCTGGGCCGAAGAGCCAAGGAGAAGCGTGTTGCTCTGGATTGGAGGGAGGTGAGGTTCAGAAGGGCAGAGTGAGAGAAGGGCAGCTACCTGGAGACCTCGCCCGTGCAGCTGGATCCAGATTGGGATTCTGAGGACCAGAAGGTGGTGGATGTGTTTGGCTCTGGGGTTTTGGCTCAGGCACTTCACTAATATTATCTATATTACAAAAAATACAACAGTAAACCTGAGAACTCTCCACACAATGCAGAAGCCCACCCCACTCCAATAGGCCTCCAGTGGCAATTGTGTGGCGCTGGATTTCCCCCACGAGACCAAGAAGAGTCCTCCCTCGCTTGCTTGGCCATCTCTTAGCATCTGCCCCCTCCCCCCTCCTGGCACTTTCCCCATTATTCCTCCTCCTCCTCCTCCTCCTCCCCTCCCTCTTTGTCCCCGGGTGTTTTTCTCAGCCCTGAAGAATGAGCCCATCAGAAGCTGCTGGGGCCAAGGGTCAGCCTTCCAAGCTGTGCTGATCTCTGGGTGGCACGGACGAGGACAAGGGGGATTTGTTCTCCGCTCTCTTCTCTCTGCCTGGGCTAGGGAGGGAAAGGGGATCAGCAGAGAACAATGGGACCCTCTTTTCTTTGCTTCCCCCGTTCTCCTCAAGTGGGGTGTGGAACAAGTGCCTGAGGCCTCAAGCCAGTAGGTTCCCTACTTGGGACCAGCATCTGATGGGCGCCATGCAGCCCAAAAGGCTCATGATCACCACCCTGCCCCACCAATGCCCTGAGAGCAGGGCCCCTGTGACGAAGGAGCCCCCGGCCGGAGACCTAGGTGGTTGCTTCGTTTGGGGTTGCCTGGCTGAGCCTGCTCCCGCTCTCCTTTGGGAAGGGCGGGTTGGAAGCCTGAACACCCTGAGAAAGTTCCAGATGGGGGCCTGTCCCGCCTGTCCCGCCTCTGCAGTCCCTGCAATGGAGACGACCTTCACGCAAAGGAGGAAGCTGCCTGCAGGCAACGCTTCCTCCATGAAGAACCCCCGAAGGGGCTGCTTCTTTTCTGGCGTTGAGGGGAATTGGTCCGGAGGGACTGCCTGGGGAGCCCGCCTCGAGGCTTTGAGCCCTGGGCAGGAGCAAGGGGAGCCCCCCTACGCAAAGACGGTGTCCTGCACCCACAAGGGAGACCCTGACCCTGGGAGGGTGGAGGGGGGCCCTGTGGGCGCAGCAGAGGCCGGGCTGGTTCGACCATCTTCTGGATCACCTGGCCTTCGGGCGGGGGGGGGTGTCTGCTTGGCCACGCTGTGGAAGAGAACGCTGGGCTACAGACGCTTTGGCAGTTTGGCTATTTTGCTCTCGCTGGCTAAACTCAATATCCAAGCAAAAAAACGGCACCAATCACGTATATAAGTAAAGGCTGAATGTGCTCCCAGCATGAGATGGATGGGTGGATGGATGGATGGATGGATATCCTGCTTCATTATTTTTACAAATAACTCAAGACAGCGAGTCTATCTAGCATACCTTCCTCTTCCTCCTCCTCCTCCTATTCCACTCCACCACTACCCTGCGAGGTGGGTTGGGCTGAGCGAGAGGGACTGGCCCCAAACCACCCAGCCCTCATTTCCTTTTGGCCAGCACTGGCTTTCAATTCTCACCATTCCTGTATTCCTCACATTTTATATATCTTGTAAAGTACAAATGTTTTAAATACATAAATAATGAATACAATTAAATACATTTCCTGTTGTTAGTTGGGACCCAAACCGGGAGACCTTGTGGCCGAAGCATCTCTGTGCTCTCTGCCAGACTTTGGATAGGTTGGGGGCCCTTCTCTGCCCCCGGGCGTTCTCTCTTGGCCGGTCTCTTGCCTTCCACCAGCCTCTAGAGTAGCCCACTAAGCTTACATAATGGTTTGGAGGGGGAGTGTTGGTGGAGAAGATGACAGAAAGAGGCCCTTGTGTGAATACAATCCCCAGCCTTGTGTCGAGGGCAGAACAATGGACACAAGGAGACATGCAGGACGAGCCTTCCCAAGGCTTCAGCTCCACACTGGCCCCTCCCACCCCATAGGGCTGTGTTGAGTCCGGAGGAGCTCTGGCTGGTACCAGCAGGAGGAAGAAGAGGCGTGGGTGCTATAGGGACAGAGGTGGGGTGGGGTGGGGGACTTGGAGCTGCTTTTCCAAGGCTGTTTTGACAGAGGCCAAACAAGACACCCTCCAAGAGTTTCGGGGGGAGCAGAAGGAATGAGTCTGGGTTGATGCCAGTCCAGACCTCTCTCCTAATTGTTGCGGGAAGGGAAGGAGCCTCTTTCAGCCTGCAGAGAACTGGGGCTGAGCCCACCCTGAGCCAGGCTTCAGCTGGGGGGCGGAGTGGCATAACGCCCCCTCCCGTCCTCTCACGGTCCACGGGCGCAGGGGCAGGAGGAGCCGCTTCAGCCCAGCTTTACGGGCCTTCTTAGGAGGGGGGGATGCCTGCAGGCCCGTCCGCCTGGAGGGGTCTGCGGGGCCAGGCTTCTCCTGGGGAGCAAGAGGAGTTTCTGAGGCCTCCCGCAGATCTTGGGCCAGGCAAGGGAAAGGCAGGCGGCTGGAGCCATCCACGTGGGATGGAGTCTCTCTGCCCAGGCAACCCCCTGCCCAGGGCCATGCGGGGGGGGGGGGGGGCGGTGGGGGGAACCTGCACGTCTGGCCATCTGCCCCCCCAAGGACGCTCAGACAAGTCCCAGTGATCCAGGCAGCGGCTGCTGAAAGGGCCTTGCCTCCCCGTCCCTCTGTGAAACGGAGCTGGAGCTGCTGTTCTGCAGCAGGGAGGAGAGGCCTCCCGCGCCCGGCCTGCCTCTCCTTTGGCCAGTTGGATGGAAGGCTCCCTGGCCAGGAGCTCTGGGTGCCTCCTGCTGCTGTCCCTAGCCAGCACCCCAGAGCAGCGTGTGGCCCTCAGGCGGAAGCTCCCTGCACAGGTAGCCCAGAAAGCCACTTGGGGAAGGTGAACAGGCCTTCTGAGCAGGTAAACCACCTGCAGGAGCCGGGCAAGGCTAAGAATCCCTCCTCACCTGGCGGGCGGGGGGGGGCTGTGCATGGGGGGCCCTCTCCTCCGCTTGGAATTCCTCAGGAGCTGCTCTTGTTCCAAATCAGAAAAATGTCGTTTTATGTGTCCATTTTATTTTTACAGCCATATATTCGTGATTTAATATTGTACTGATGTTGGCTGTTTTGTTTTACACCTTGCTGCGCATGAGGCAGCCTGGCAGCGGCGGGAGGGAGCTAAGCACCCTTGGGGGGGGGGGCTAAGAAGTTGCACCCTCTGAGCATGGGAAAAGCAGAAGCCAGGAGCTCCTCCTCTCGGGTGTCCTGAGCGGGTCAGGATATGCTCGGCCTGCCAGCTGCCTCACCAGTGCGGGGGGCTTCATGTGGCGGCTGCTCTTGCCAAGGAGGGGTTCAGAGACCCCACGGGAGCAATGAGGGTATCTGCTGAGAAGGAAGGCCCAATGTGGGGGGAGATGGAGGTGAGGAAGGTGCCTGGGTTTAGTCTGGTGTCCCTCCAGAAAGAGCTCCTGCCTGGCAGAGCATGGCAACCTCCTTCGTGGCGCTCTGCATGGAAAGGCCCACCCGGCTTCCCTTCCCTTGCCCAGAATGCCGCTCCCTGCCTCTTGCCGGTCCCCCATTCGGCAGCGTCAGCTTGGAACCCGGCCACCCCGAGAGCAACTCACTCCGAGCCCAGCCTTTCCTCAATTAGGCAGGGCTCTCCTGCGGTGCGCCCAGACCCACTTCCTGAAAAGGGATCTGGTTCAAGCTTAGAGGACCACGCAGGAGAGAGAATGCTGAACCTGGATGGAGACTCCGGAGAAACTTCCTAAATAGTTTGCCAATCTTTCTTTGGATGTTTTAACCACTCAAATGGCAGTTTTAAATTTTAAGCAACTTAAAAATCCCAAGTGTTCAGAAGAAAGGGCATAGAAATCCCTTCAGCCCAGCACTGTTTTTGAATGGCACAATGGTGATAATAGCCCAGCTTCTTAATTCTAGGTTCTCCCTAGTGGAGAAGGATTAGAGGCTTCCTTGGATTTGCCAACTTACCCATGATTTCAGGATGCACGTCAAGATCCCTGTGCTCTTTTCCCGCCTTTGCTCAGCTAGAACCCTTCGTGGTGCCCCGTTGCCTCCTCTCCTTCCTTCCCTCTGGTGAGTCTCCAGTTCACCAGCAAAGAAAAGGGCTCTTGGGTTGGCAGCCAACCCCCTTAAAGAGCCAACCCCCCTTCAACTGCTCCACCCCTTGGGCTCTCCCCTCTCTCTTAACCCTCCTTTGGACAGTGGACGTGTGCATTTCTCAGCATGGCACAAGCCACAGTTTGCTTTTCATGGGCTCCCAACAGCCTTGGGGGGGTCACGCTTTGTGATATGCCCTTTGAACACTGTAGGAACAGAAAAAGCAGACAGATCCAGCTTTGGGCTTTTCTGGTGCTCCCACAAACATTTGGAGGCGTGGGGGGGGTGCAAACTCTGATAACTCTGCTTCACTTTGGTCTTTCTATGGGTAATCTTTTTCTGACTGCATCTCTCCATATTTCCACTCTTTCCTGCAGAAACCGCCAAGGTTTGGAGGCACGAGACCTGTGCTGCGCGATGGGCCTCTTGGGTGCCAGGCAAAGGCCTGGAACTTCAGCCCAGGGAGGATTTTGGGCCTAGAATGCCATTCGGGAGTCCCCATCTCTGGTGGCATTCAGAGAGTCCACTCTGTCTTCTGTTGGCAGTTAAGCCACACCAAATCAAACTAGCCAAGGGAAGGGGGCAAAGTAAATGAGGGAAAGTGCAAAAGGAGAGTTGCTTTGGAAGCAATTAAGGCACTGGTGCAGAACTGACATGAAGCCAGGTGGGTGACCCGGGGCTAAGTACCCCCCGCTTCAACCTGGGAAGCAAGCAAAGGCAGCCATTTCCGAATATCTCATTGGCACAAGCTTGTTCGGGGTGGGTGGGTGGGGGGCACAGTATAAGCCAGTAATTTTAACTTTTAGAGTTAACTTTAAAGGTTTAAAAAACCCTCCTTTGAAATGCCAGCAGTTAGTGTTAAGACATGGGCATTAATGGAAAAGCTGCCCAGGGTCTTAGGCAGCGGCGCTCCTGGCTGGAGAAGTCTGGGAAGTGAGTGCTCAGAGGGGCTCTCCCTGCCACAGGGGGCCTTCCTGGTCTGGGCAAGGCCCTGCACACCTCTCGTGCCAGGGCAATGCAGGAAGCCCTCGGTCCAGAGCGGCTGCCTTCCTCGCCTCCGAAGCAGCCAGCATGGCAGAGATCTGCCTGCTCCTCATCGGTCCAAAAGTTTCCTCCAAAGACAGGTGCCATCGATCCTTCCAACTACCAGGATCTCCCCGTAGTGCCCTTCCCACGACTAACCCTGGGTGGCTCTATGGGAAGCCCTCTGCCTTGGCTGAGAACAGGGGCTGTCAAGAATTTGAGCCCGCAAAGGCAGGGTCAGGGGTGACAACAACCGTCCACACCAAAGCGGACTCTCCCGGGGATGGGAGAAGTAGAGTAAAGATCTGGGCCCTGCTTAGCTGGACTTTAGCTGCCTTCTGGGCTCATCCCTTCTTCTCCCGGATTAATACCATCTCCGGTTGCAATACTGCTCCAAGGGGAGGTGTGGGGGCAGGGGGGCCATGATGCCGCCCTGCTTGCTTCCCCCTCCCTCCCTCCCTGCCTTCTGCTCTTGCTCCCCAGAGTTCTCGAGCCCAGCACGTCCCTTTGCTCTCCAGGGGGCTCTGGTTGCCTGCCCACCCCGCTATCTATCCCCATCTTCTCCCGGCGACCCTCGCTGGGACTGCTCTCGGGGCGAGCACTTCATAGAGGTCCTATTTCCAATCTGCGACCAGCAGGGGGCAGCAGCAGCCGTTGCGCAGAACCAGCTACGGTTTTTAGGACACCGCCGGTGCTGCTGCTGCTCCAGGGCCTCCCATCTGGTGGGTAGAAGTCCGAAGGGTCTTTGAGGAGAAGCTGCCTCCTGCAATCTAGCTGCCTCCATCCATGTGGGTTGTGGTGGGGGAGGGAGACGCAAGCAGCCCCCACCCCACTCTGCCCCAAGGCATGGGATGCACAGGCTGGCGCCCTTCCTTGGCTCCCAAGAGAGTTCCGCCAGTACCTGCCCCCTCACATCAGTTGCCCCCCCCCCCATGTTGCTGGGGTCTGAACTAAGGACCACCCAAACTGAAGGTCAGCCGGCACCCTCTGACTCAGCAGGCAGGCCACGTCCCCTCTTCCCCACCCCCCCTGGAGCAGGAGGAACCGCACCCTGCACGCAGATGCCGCCCTGGAGAGGAAGAGACCAAGGTGGCAGAGCAAAGGGCCCCCGCTCTGTGTGCCAAGTTCTCTCTCTCTCCTGCTCCCCCCGTGGAGGGAGAGCAAGGCATGGGGGGGAGGGGGGAGGCAGCTGTGTATGAGGCACCAATGAATTCTAGACCCATTGCAGAAACAGCGGCTGAGAAGACATCCGTCACAGGCCCCGGAGGCTTTGGGTGTGGAGCCCAAAGAGCCCAAAGCCACCCAGCGAAACCCCATCAGGAAGCAGAGGCAGCAGGGTGGCTGCTACCGCTCTCACTTGGGGGGAGTCGGGGAGCCTTCAAGGTTCACTACTTGCCCCATAACGGGAGGTGCTTTTCTGGAGTCCAGAATGTTGAAGGGAGACCGGTTGCGCCCCCCCCCCCCCGGTCTCTATGCAAAGCCTCTATGAGCCCAGTCAGCCCCATGGCTGCTTCTGGCCAGTGTTCTATCTTGAGGCTCCAGGCTCCACTGCTGGCCTCTGAGAGAACCTCTCTGCTGCCAGGCCGCCCCCCCCCCCCCCCCCCCCCCCCCCCCCCCCCCCCCCCCCCCCCCCAGACACAGGGAGGAATGGAAAGTTCTCTCTAGTCCGAGCCCTCCGTCCTGAGACCTGAAGGGAGCTAGCCCACTCCTCCGTCCAAGCCAGGGGAGGGGAGCTCCCTGGCCCTCCCTGGTCGGTTGGTGCCTGTGCCATCAGGACCGGGGCAACCTCGGGCAGAAGTCTGCCCTGGAGGGACCCCAGCTGGTCAGTAGCCGATGAGAGGACTCAGCCCAAAGGGAGGACACGGAGGTCCTTGAATCCCAAGGGTGGCAAATCAGGAAGATTCCTCTAGCAACCAGCCAGCCAGCCTCCTTTGGAGCTCCGAAGCTTGGAAAGTTCAGCCTGGGAAAGTGAAGGTGCAGCAGTCAGCAGAACGGGAGAAGGCGGCCCTGCGGGGTCCAAGAGCCCCCTTTCTCCTCTGGACAACGTCCTCTTGGCCAGAGGTTGTGGCCCAGGGAGACTGGCGGTCGCACAGGCAGGCCTTTCCAAACACCCCTTTGGCTTCTCCCACTGGGTTGGCTGCCTCCTTCAGTTCCCCAGCTTTCTCTCTCGTGGCTTTGCTGTTACCCTGCCTTACCTGGACTTCTGCCCAAGTGAGAAAACCCCAAGGCCGAAGATGCCAGAAGGCCAAGTCAGGTCACATCTGCCTGGACTGGAGAGGAGCCCGAATGTGCTGACCTGCTCCCTGTACAGAGCAGGGCTGTATTTGACTGGGGCAAATCCCCTATGGGGATTCTCAGCCACCCGGCTGTGGGTTGTCCCAAAGGGGCTTTTTGGGGACCAAGGGAGATGCTTAGGGGAGCCTCCAGGCAGGCAGGCAGGCATCAGGCCCTCCTTCTCGACCAGCTTCCTTTCCTCCCTTCAGTGGGAGAGACGCTCTGGGTCCATCCCACCTCTCTAGGGCAGCCAGGAGAGGCGATGGGGTGGGATGGAAGAGGCAGAGAAGCCCCAGCGGAAGTTCCACACAGGCAGGAGCACCTGCAGCTTCATGTCTTTTGAGTGCAGCCGCTTCCCACTTGGCTCAGGCCCCACTTGACTGTTTCTGGCTCATTGGAGCCTGCAGGCAATTCCCACTGAAGCCACCTGAATATTTTTAGCTCCAAACGGAGGGCAGAGCAAAAGAGTCCGGATGTTGGCCAAGATCGCCTCTCTCAGCTGGGATTTTAAGGCCCAAAGGGGCTTTTTCAAGAGGCAACTGGACTTTCTTTGTTTTTCCTTGAAGACCATTCACTTCTCATCCAAGAAGCTTCTTCAGTTCTGAGAAGAGAAGAGGAACATCTTCAAGGAAAAACAAAGTCCAGTTGCCTCTTGAAAAAAACCCCTTGTGGCAACCATGACCTGGGGAGCGGAGACTCTCCAGAGACTCCGTGGGGCTTTGAAGACCTCTCCTCGCGGGCCAGAGCACCATTGGGACGGTGCTGAGCTCCGAGCAGCAGGTGGGGCAAGAGGTGCTGTTCTTCAGGCAATCTTGCAGAAATGCAGCGCCAGGTGTGTGACTCCCTCCTCAGGCTGGGAAAGAGCAGACTTTCCATGCTCCAAGTGCTTCCTCCTCAGCAGAGCCCCGTGTAGGCTGCCCGGGTTGTGCTTGTAAACCCAGGACCAATGTGGTGCCAGCAAGCTGAGGAAAGAGGCAAGGCGCAGCTGGCAGTGGTCCAAGAATCCTGAGACAATGGCCGCCCTAACCTTTGCAACCCAGCAGACTCCCCGAGGGGGGCTTGCTCTAAGAAGGAACACGATCCTCCTCTGGGGTCAGGGCAGCCACAGGCCCACTGGTGACTGAATGCCAGCCACCCTTCCGAATGGAAACGGGGGTGCAGGCAGAGGTCTCTGCTGTGGAAGGCTTGTTCACCAGGAGGAGGCAAACGCTTTGGAGCCCACCCTTCGCAGCTGCCTTCCTGGGTCAAACAGCTCCTCCTCCCAGCCGTGGTGGCTTACGGCGCTGGCCCAGACTCTGCTCATGGGTCCAGGCACGCAGTCTGGGGGCAGCGCTGAGCAAGGAGCAGGCCCAGCATGTGCTGGTTACCCAGGGCCGCTGTTGTCTTGGCTGCCTTGTGGCAAACTGGACGGCCCTCGTCCTGCTCAGATGGCACCCATGGTGGCCTCTATGGGAGTGTGCCCCATCCCGCAGAATAAAAGGGCTCCCCCCCACCCCATTGGCCAGCAGGAAGGAATCGGTGGGAGCCTTCACACAGGGGCGGAGCATCTCTGTCTCCCCCATGCCAAGGCTCCACCCTCTTCCTCCTGCTAGGGCTATGGGGGGGCAATAAGTAAGCACCGGGGCACCCCCTCCCCTTTGCTAGAGCAAGCCCTTTGGGCAGAGAAACCTAAGGAACCCGAGGATTCCAGGTGGGACCCGAGAGCTGAACATTGTCAGACAAAACGGCTGCTTAAGGGTTACTTGATCAGCCCAAGACCATTCAGCGGGATCTCGTCTCTAGGTAGCCATAATGCCTACGGAAGCCTTTCCTAGAAATCCCGACTCTGAGCCTTTTTAACCCAACGTTCTTCAGTGTGATAACTTCCTTTTCAGTGAAGCAAAGGTGCTGGAAGCCCAAGGCAAGCGGTGCTTTCACCAGAAGCTTTCACCTTCCAGGACTTTCCACATGCCAAAGGATGCGGGAGTCTCCCCGAAGCCCTCAAAGGGCCTGAGGGTGGGCAGGGCTAGCAGGGGCCCCCCATACATCCTCGTGGCTGGAGGAGAGGGGTGTTTTCATGCCGCCTTTGGCCCATTGTTCAACCACGAGGTGCAGCCCAAGAGAAGTGGCTGCTGTTGCTCTTCCCCAGGCTGGCTGGGCAGGGCAGAGCAAGCCGAGGAGCAAGGGCAGAGCAGGGCAGGGGTCAGTGGACCCTTGTCTGCTTCTCTGTGCCCGGCTTGAAGCTGTTGGGTATATGGATACACCAACTAGGTTTGGGTGAATAAATATATGAACCTAGGTTTAAGTGTTTGTAGCTTTAAGCACCAAACTGCAATGTAATTAGATAATTAAGGGTGCGGTTGCAGGCAGCAATAAAAGGCAGTGAGAGTAACGTAACACTTCCTGGTTACTGTTCTGGCCGCTGGTCTCTCTGCTGTCTGCTGCCTGCAGTTTACTCCTGTATGAGACGTCTGCTTGTTATTGCTTGATGGCTACTGTGCTGGATACCGTTTCTACTGAACAAAAGGACTGTTTACTTGGTGAGCTGATATCCTGTGCATACTCAGCGTTGTCTTCGAGAGAAAGGTATCGGAAGGAGAAGATTTACAAGCAGATAAAGACATTGTACTGACTAGTTTAATGAACTATGTTACTGGATGGATATATTGGATAATGACATATGGACTGAATGACACTGCTTAAACTCTAAATGAATTAAATAACTATTTAAAACTACAAACAGTGTTTTTGTCTCCAGTGTGTGTATACTCTTGGGCCCAGCCTCTCTCTCATTTGGCTGCCTGGCTTGACTGCTGCTGCACACTCTGCTTGGGGGTTTGTCCCCAAACACTAACAGAAGCATTTCTTCTACTCAGCTGCAAGGCTGGGAGGGCAGAGAGGGGCCAGAACTGCATGTGGCCCACTGGCATTGTCACCTTGAGCTGGAGTTGCTGGTCCACCTCCCAAGTGACAAATGATTGTCCTGCTGTCACCTGCTAATTTTAGCCTTGCAGTGGGAACAAACAGCACTGCAATCATTTCTGGAATTCACCTGAGCTGCTGCAAATGCTCCGGTCTCTCTTCAGAGTCCCCTGTGGTTTGGGAGTGATTTTCTCTTGTGACTTCTTCCCTCCCTGGAGAACGGGAAGATTAGCAGGGGGTGGCCAGAATTTGGAACCCCAAGTAGATAGCTGTGCTTTTTACCATTCCAGCCCTAACCGTTCCCAAAGGCCCAGCCACCTTCTGCCTACTGAGCAGGATGGGCAGGTTTGTCCTTCCTTGGCCTTTGCTCAAGGCATTTCTGCAGACCTTAAGCAGGGGTGGGGCTGTTAACTCAAGACTCCCAGTTCCCGTGGAAAGTGGACTTGCACTTAGATTCCTCTCCAGGGGTGGATCTGGTTCACGTCTCCCTCCATAGTTTAGAAAGGCTGTTACTCCTTCACACATTGGCTGCCTCACAAGACCTTTACAGTATGCAGAATTAGGCAGTGTTCTTGGCACAATAATTTTAATCCGCCAAAGCACTGGCCCACCCATGCAATTGGCCAAGCCATCCCAAAACTAAGCAGGCTGAAGATCAGCTCCTTCGGATATCTGGAATAGGTCGTGCTATTATATTTTGAAAGAGTCTGGAAGCAGAAAGGTCTGAAAACTTTATTCCCCAAGAGTGACAAGGCAGAGTCTTCCAGCTTTATATGTTACTAATTCTTTTTGTTTTAATTACAGATAGTTGACTTTAAGCTGAACAGTATACAATCTGAAGGGACCAATGAGTAATGTGTGAACACAGCACTACATCAGAAAGTGGCCTATCTAGTCTAGAAGGAAGTTCTGGACTCACTTCGGGCTGGGACAAGGAAGCCCGCTCACTGCTCGGACGGCCCGTCCACCACCACCAGGTCCGAAGAAGCGGGTGGAAAGCGTCTGGAGAGGGAGGAAAAGCCTTCCCGCCCGGTCTAGGGAGAGTCCTTCCATCCGCTCCGCGGGGGACGCTTGGGTCCCTTCGTCAGGCGAGAGCCCAGAAGTCCCGCGCTCGTCCTGGGAGGGGAAGCAAGAGGTCCGCAGCAGCCCCGCTGGGTTGCCGCCAGCCAGCGGCAAAGGCGCCTTCCTTGCCTTCCCCAGCACGCAGCACCCGAGGACGGAAAGGAGGCGGGCGCCCAACTGCGGGCGGCTTCGGGAAGCCTTGGCCTTAATCCCCTTCGGGCCGGGCAAGAAGGGGCGCTCCGGACATGCCCCGCTCCTTCGCTGGCCGTAGGCGCCGTCGAGGCTGAGCGCCCGCAAAGCAGCCCGAAGTTGGCTCCCGGAAGGAGGCTGCCGACTGCAGCCAAGCGTCGACCGTCGGGGCTGTCCTTCGCGTGGGTGGGCAGCGCCCTCCCCGCTGGAGGCGGGGAGAAGCGAGCCAAGCGTCTCGGGCTCCGGCGAGGCGGACTTGGCCGAAGTCCGGACGCCTCGGTTCGGCACTGTTGCCGCCGCCGCCGCCGCCGCCCAATCCTGCCCGGAAGAATAGCAGCGGGACATCCCCGCTCGTCCCCCCGGACTGGAGAGCCCCGCGACCTCCCGGATTCCGGCCTCCGCCCCTTCGGCCTCAGGATGATGGCCGGGGCCCGCGGGACGAGAGGGCCACTCCTGCTCCTGCAGGGCGCTCTCCTCGGGTGAGTGGAGACGGGGGTCGATGCCGGCCCGGGGCCTGGCTTCTTGGAGGCCCGGCTGAGATGCCGCACGTGGGGCGCGGGCGTTTCCTTCCTGAGGCTGGGACCGGTTAGGTCTCCTCCTTGCCCAAGCCCTCGCCGTTCTTTCCCCGAGCAGCCGAGAAGCTCCGATGTAGCCGCCGGGAAAGCCCGCGCGCGACGGGGTCCGCAGCAGCAGCAGCAGCAGCAGCAGCAACGCAGCAGAGTTCCCCGAGGCGAAGGGGCCGCTCCGAAAGGGGAGCCTGCACGACCTAGGTCGGAAGCAGCTCTTCCTCGCGGCGGGGGCACCTTCGCCCTCCCCGCCCGGCTTCGCGACTGCCCGTGAACGCTGGTGGCCTTTGTCTCATAAGTCGCTTTCCTGCTTTTCTTCAGAAAGTCTCCGGGGATGAAACAGGCTGTGCGAGGTTCGTGTGAGCCTCTTTCCAGGGTGAATTGATGAATGGGCGCCACAGTTTGGCCCCCAAAGCCTGAAGCGTTGCCCACACAAGCTCCAGCGGCGCCCACCTTCTGTGGGCCACCTGGACTCGGACCCAGCTGGGTTTGCTTGGCTCTGGGAAGATCTATGACTTTTGTGCTTCGGGTTCCCCTCAGAGTTTCCAGACCGTCTTTGCTCCTCCTTCCAGGGCTGCTCTTGTGATTGGAAAACTTTCCAATTGTTTCTCTGGTCTTTGTATTTTAACAGGCAACATTTTCTTTTCAGAGGTTAAAGTAAATTGTCCAGGATTGCAAAGTGGGAGCAGGTTAGCCTTAGAAGACATGTCTTAGGCCTCCTGAAATTGCTAGAAAAACCCCAAATAAGAATTTATGGAGGTATTGGGGCGTGGGTGGGTGGCCAGGTGCACTTCCTTCATCTCAGAGGCTGAGGATAGATTTGGGTGCTCCTTTGCCTGGACAACGGGGTGGAGGAACCCCCTAGGAAAAGGGGGCCCTTTGGGCTGTGAAGAGCTCCACTGAGGCGAGCTTTTCCTGGATCTTGTGGAACGGCCGAAGAGTGTTGGGACTGCAGCTCTTGGGGCAACAGAAGGATGTGGATGCAATTTCACCGGCAGTCTTGATTGGTTCCAGCGGTCTGTTGAGTGGCAGTTTGGCTGAAGTATTTTGACTAGCCAAGCTCTGCCCTCTGGATTCTGGGCCAACTTCTTGAGAGGGAATCTTGCAGCTGTTTCTCCCTGAAGGCCAAGCCGAGTGTTTCCATGCCATGCAGATGCTGGGCCCTGCGGTGCAAGCCCTCCTCGCCTGCTTTTGGTTGGGTCTGCTCAGGCCAAATGACTCCACAATCAAAGGTGGTGCCCACGGCAGTCATTATGACCCCAAACCCACAGCTCAGGGGTGGTGGTGATGTTGTATCTGTACCTGCTCCCCATCTGGATCTGCGTGGGGTAATTCCTAGCAGGTGGTCTCTAGTGAAAACCAAAATCCCTCCATGGGCTGCAGAAGGAGAAGGCAACCCCAGCGGGGAGAAACTTACAGTTTTAGAGCTGCATGACTCTCTAAGATACATTAACCAGGTCACACGTGGCCTTCTGCTTAGTGTGTGTCCCACGAGGAAGGGGTGTGCATGTGGAACAACTGTCAGCCTGACACCTGCTCTGTTCTCCCACCACCACCCCCAGATTCGTGGCAGGGAAAGAAGTCAGATCGGCCCTGCAGAGCCTCCCGCAGCCGATGTCTCCCTCCGATTTCCTAGACAAGCTGATGGGCCGGACGTCTGGTTACGATGCTCGCATAAGGCCCAACTTCAAAGGTAACGTCTGAGCCGCGGTCAGACAAGCTGGTTCAAAGTGCTTTGGGCCACCTTCATGTTTTCCTTCAGGGCTAAACAAGGTGCTCTGAAAGCACAACGGTGACCCAGGACTAGAAGAGAGGTCACTGCACCCCTCCTCCCCCTGGGGATCAACTGGCAGGGATGCTGGGTGTGGCTGAGAAGGTAGTTGGGCTTCATGGGGTGGTTGTGGGTCAACTGCCTGCTCTCTTCTTCTTGATTCACCCGGAAGGAAGGGGCCGGGGAGCTGCTGTGTGCCTGAGTGCCTGAGGAAAAAGGGACCTTAGGATGTTTATGTGACGGGCTTAGGGTGGGCAGGAGTCTCTGCATTCAGAAGGCCACTGGTCTGATTTACTCTCAGGTGGTTTTAGGGATCCTCTACCTCAAGAGAATCACATAAAAAAGGCAACCGAGGGGAAAGGTAATCAGGGTGTAGGAAACAGGGACGACATGGTGAAATTGGACAGAGAGAAATCTGTTTTCTTCACCTCTGAAAATTAGGGGGAAACCCCCCCCCCACCGCCGCCGCCTTTTAAAGCTGACTGGGAAGAGAGCAAAAGGGAGCCTTTGTTCCTTCAATACGTCGTTGAGCTGTGAAATTTATTCCCACAAAATGGGGGTGATGGCACCTGACTTCCTACAGGGGATACATTCACAGAGGGCGGTTGGAAGAGACCGGGGGACCCGTGCAGGACGGGCTGCTCTGCCGGAAGCTCTTGCTTTGGGAGACTCCGTGCCCAGTCTGGGCCGGGGAGTGGAGACTCAACTGCAGGGGTGGGGAACGTCCTCTGCTTGGCCTGATCCAGCCAAAGGGCTCTTCCACTCTTGTCTGATTGGCACCCATCCTCAGACTTCCGTAGCTTTATCACATGCCAGCCAAAGCCCTCATTTCCTTTCCTCACAGGCCCGCCCGTCAATGTGACATGCAACATCTTCATCAACAGCTTTGGTTCAGTCACAGAAACGACCATGGTAAGGCTTAGCCTGCCCACCCTTCTGGAGCCAGCCTAACCCACCGCAACCCCTTGGGCCTCTGGAAGCTTCCGCTTTGGGAGGGGCCCAGTTGACAGGCGCCAACTCTCCCTGATTACTCTGGCCTCGGAGGACTGTTCCGGGATGGCAGTTGGCGGCCCGGGGGTGCAAGCGAGGGCCTGAGGAGCAAGGGCAACCGGAGAGCCAAAGTACAGCCCTGTGCTGGGCCCACTTCTGCACCTTGCCACTCCCCCCGCCCCCCGGTCTAAGCCCCTCTCGGCGCCCTCTGCCAGGCACCTCTCCTTGGCTGCAGTCCTTGTCCCAGGTGCCAAGAGGCTGCCGTCTCCCCCCATGTCTGCTTCTCTTGGCTCTTCCAGGATTACCGGGTCAATGTCTTTCTGCGGCAGCACTGGAATGACCCCCGCCTGGCTTATTGGGAATACCCTGACAGCTCCCTCGATTTGGACCCCTCCATGCTGGACTCCATCTGGAAGCCGGACCTCTTCTTTGCCAATGAGAAGGGGGCGAACTTCCATGAGGTCACTACAGACAACAAGCTCCTGCGCATTTTCAGAAACGGGGGTGTGCTGTATAGCATTAGGTATCGGCTTCAAGATCACCTTGCTCAGCTTAACCCCCAAATCTGGTTCAGCCTGGTTCTGTTTGACTCTGTCCTTTCTCTTCCCTACAGGCTGACTCTTATCCTCTCCTGCCCCATGGATCTCAAGAACTTCCCTATGGACACTCAGATATGCACCATGCAGCTGGAGAGCTGTGGGTACTTTTATTTAACTCTGGCCTCAACAGAGTCCTTGGTGCTGTACCTAAGAGCCACAGTTCCTGCTCGCTTGATGGGCAATGGGAATTAGTTATGGGTACAATGAGTAGTAGACTGGTTTACACAGTATGATTAAGTATAGCGGTTGGATTTGCACAATATGCTGAGCTTCATTAACAGTAATCTTGGATGATTGTTGTGGCTTAATCATTCTGTAGGGTGGTCAGTGTATAATTCAAGGCATGGCACAGACTCAGAACCTGGACTGAAGCCACAGCTACATGGGGGTAGCCAAAAAGTTCCAGATGGTTTAGTAAGGAGGGGTCTGGAAGGCCCAATAGAAAGAGGGAGTTGGAAGCTGCATTACCTACCTGGGCACGTCACACAAGCTGAGCAATGGACCACCAGGTGGACATCGTCCCTGTACACTGGAGGAGCAAGGGAAAGTGGAGAGGGAGGCAAGAGATTTGGATCTGCCCTGTCCCTCCTCCAGGTTCCTTGTGCTGCCTGTCTCTGCTTGCCTTGCAGTTGGTTACACCATGAATGACCTGATCTTTGAGTGGGAGACGGAGCAGGAGGCTGTGCAGGTGGCTGAAGGCTTAACACTCCCTCAGTTTATTCTGCGGGATGAGAAAGAACTGGGCTATTGCACCAAATCCTACAACACAGGTGACCAGATCTGCCTCACCAGAGGCTCAGCGCTTCTCCTAGAGCTAAAGAGGCCCCGTTGGCAGACCGCCTCAAAAACTATTATGACACTGCCATCCATCCATCCATCCATCCATCCATCCATCCATCCATCCATCCATCCATCCACTCACTCACTCACTCACTCACTCACTCGTTGTCTGACTCTATCACAACTCTAAGCAAGCATACAGCATAAAACAATATGATACAAAGAGGGCAAAAAGGAAACACACACACACACACACACACACACACACACGTGGAAAACAGCTTACGACAAACCAAACACCCTATATGAAGTCCAAGGCTTGGGCAGAGAACTAGCTTTTACAGGCCCATTTAAACAAAGTCAGGCCACCTGGGGTCAGAGGGTCTCACTCCATTATCTGCCCCGAGGCCTTTAGGCCTCATGGAGGACCACTGCCGCCTCACCCTATCCTGGGATGGTGGTCTGGGCCAAACTCAAGTCCCAGGGGGGCAGTTGATAAGATACAGCCAGATTGCAGATACAGGTGGCCTGTTGCATCCTCACCTGGCATCCTGTAACAGCAACTGGAGCGCCCCAGACCCAATTCCCTGGCTTCAGGGAGGAGCCCGGCGAGCTGGAGAATGAAGCAGGTCTTACCCAGCAACCCTGCTACTCCCACCCTTCGCTTCTGACCATCTCCACCTGCTATCATGGCTTGGACAGAATTAGGTATCCTCTTCCCTTGCCCCCCCCCGCCCCCCATCCTGGATCATATCCATTACCTTCTCTCCCTCAAAAGCCACAATATCTTTCCCAGCAGTTCTGCTGGAGAGTTCGTTGCTTTGATGCATCAGCCGTCCCACCCTTAGCACCACTCCATCATGACCCCCCCCCCCCCCCGCCCATTGGAGTCTCTCCTCTGCTTTTCAAGGTGCCCCTCTGGACAATGGGTCCACAGGTGACAGACCCTGCTGTGGCTCACCCCTTTCTCTCCTTCCCTCCAGGGCAGTTCACCTGCATCGAAGTGAAGTTCCGCCTGGAGAGGCAGATGGGCTACTATCTGATCCAGATGTACATCCCAAGCTTGCTGATTGTCATCCTTTCTTGGGTCTCCTTTTGGATCAACATGGATGCTGCACCAGCCCGGGTGGGGCTCGGCATTACCACTGTGCTGACCGTGACCACCCAGAGTGCAGGGTCTCGGGCATCCTTGCCTAAGGTCAGGGGGCTCACGGCAGGGATCCTGGAGCGTCTTCCCAGCACTTGAGTCTCTGGGTGGGCAGGAAGTATGTTTGCTTTCCGAGGGCTTCGCAGGGAAGTCATATCAGAGCCCTCCTATGCTCAGCTGGCCCCGTTATGTGCTTCCAGTTGTTCCCTCAAACTACAGCATGGAAATATGCCAAGAGAAAATATCTCCATGCACCATCCCTGAGCTAAGGGCAGGAGCGCTATTTTCCTCACACACCTGATTCCTTGGTACACTTCCTTTTGGGGGGTCATGAAGTTCATACCCCAGGAAGGTTGCCCTGGTAAGAGCAGAGGCAACCTCCCCTACCCCACCACGTGACCTAAGTGGGAGCCAGGATAGATAGGCACATGCCACGTACCCAAGGGCTACCACGGAGAGCAAGGGGTCCCAGATGAGCCCTCTGTGCATCTTCAAAAGTCTGGGCTATAAAATAGCCCAGGAATGACGGCTTGCAATCAGGCCCTTCCTTCGTGCTGCGGGCAAGGATACCATGCCCTGCGATGCCTCTTATACAGCAAGTGAGGCAGGAACAACCCAACACCTCGGTTTGCCTCTTAAGGCCAGCAGCATCAAGGGGGTCTTTTGAACTGGGGAAAATGGAGGTAGGGAAGGTTTAGATGCCCAGCACTGCAGACCTAACAAGGAATCTTCCCCACGACTGTTTCTGGCTTACCCAAAGGAGGAAAACGTCCCTCCTAGATTTCCAGCCCCATCTGGATGGGAGCATTTGCAAACCTGAGCTTGCAAAGAGAAGTCCCCTTTCTTCCTTCTCTCTTGCTGGGGGAGCTCCCTCCCCATCTTTTCTAGCATCTGCCTCCCATCTGTTCAGGCTATTTATGTTTCCAAAGGGAAAAGCCACTGTTAAACTCCACCTTTGGCAGGGAAAACCAGGTGCCAGCTGGTGCGAAGGGGGAGGGGGGGTGGCCTCTGAATGGGAGTGTGCCCTCTTCAACCCCAGGGCGGCACGAGGAGGCAAACAAGACATGCCGGAAGGGCTTTGCCTCGGCTTGCCCTCCTCTTTGTCCCGAAGCAGCTAAAGTCCCTGCAGCCATCACTGGCTTCCTTTGGGGATAGAAGAACCCAATAACAGAGTTGGAAGGGGCTTGTTCTGGCCCGAGACCCTTCTGGACTAAGGCCTGTCCAATCTGAGGGCTCCTTGGTGCTCTCTGAGCTGGGTTGTTTCCGTGCGTCAGTTCATTACCCAAAGTAGGTGAAGTCATCAGTCTTTCTTAGAGTCCTCCAGTGATGGAGCACTCACAATTTCCAGAGGCCAGCCTTTCCACTCTTCAGCCATTCTCCCTCTCAGAGAATTTCTCCTTAGCTCTGCTTGGATCTCTCACTGGTAACTTTCCATCTGCCCTCAGATGCTTTGGAAAAGAAGCTGAACCCCTCTTCTCTGTGACAGATGCTACCATGTCACCCCTCGTCCTTCTCTGGGCTACACCAGATGTCCTCACTCTCTGCAGCTGTTCTTCTAGTTTTAGCCTCCAGTCCCCTAACCCTCTTTGTTGCTCTTCTCGGCATTCTGTCCAGAGTCTCAATATCCTTCTCATGCGTTGACCAAAATCGGACACAGTGTCTTACCTGTGCAGCATAAAGCAGCCCTAGTACTTTATGTGACCCTGATGCCATCCCTGTGTTAATGCCGCCTAGGACTGCGTTGGCTTTTTTGCAGCTGCAGCACATTCTGGCTCACATTGAAGTGGTTGTCCGCTAGGACTCCAAGACACACACACACACACACACACACACACACACACACATACCCGTTATTGCTGTGGAGGCAGGTATCACCTGTTCTAGGTTGACTCCTCTTGCCTAAATATAAGACCCTCCTTTTCTCATCACCAGATCTTGAGCCTGTCTTCTGGGGTGCTGCCTATTACTGCTAGCTAGGTTGCAAATTTAGACCAGAGCAGAATCACAGAGTTGGAAGGGACCTAGGAGGTCTTCTAGTCCAACCCCCTGCTCAGGCAGGAAACGCTATACTATTTCAGACCAATGGTTGTCCAATCTCTTCTTAAAAACTTCCCGTGTTGGAGCATTCTTGTTGGAGCCCATCTTCTGGAGGCAAGCAGTTCCACGGATGAATTGTTCTTCCTTCTAGGTTGCTTCTCTTATTGATGAGTTTCCACCCACTGCTCCTTGGACAATAGCCCGACTCCTCCTGTTTTGTGGCAACCCCCCGGAGGTATTGAAACCCTGCTATCATGTCTCCCCTCGTCCTTCTTTTCACTGAACTAGTCGTATCCAATTCCAGAAGTTGTTCTTTCATATGTTTTAGCCTCCAGTCCCCTAATCCTCTTTGTTGCTCTTCTCGGCACCGTTTCCTGCAACAGAAGCAGATAGTCTGAACTGTGGGAGGCAGTGCTGACCTTGGGGAGGGGGCTGCTTAGAGGCTGGGAGCCTCTTCCCCATGCCCCTCTCCTCGGCAGGTCTCCTACGTCAAAGCCATTGATATCTGGATGGCCGTCTGTCTGCTCTTCGTCTTTGCCGCCCTGCTGGAATATGCGGCGGTCAACTTTGTCTCGCGCCAGCATAAGGAGCTCCTGCGCCTACGGCGGAGCCAACGGCGGCAGAGGATGGTGAGCAAGGGTTGGGGCTTCTGGGGGCAGATAATAGGCCCGGTGCTCCCTGCATGCCCTGGGACTGGTTGGAAGTGGAGGGGGAAGCCCCCGTGAAGCCAAGCCCCCCCCCCGCCACCCCCTTGTCAGAAACAGCTGGTGCTTTGGACAGCATCTCCTCAAACAAGTGGTTCCTAGAGGAGGCCCTCTCTGGTGCGGGCCTTGCTTTGGCTCCTCCCTCGCTTTGCCCCTCACCCAGCCTCAGGGCTGCTCGGCTGCACCAGTTTAGGAAGGCAGCGTGCTTGGCAGGCCCCCTGCTGGCACCATCTGAGAAGGCAAGGGGGCTTCCCCTGGGGTCTGCCCCGGCCCACCTGCGCTTCTTCCCCCTGGCAGCTGTGGTGCCTTTTCAGCCTTTGCTAGGAGAAGGGAGCTGCCCTCTGGTGCTCCATCAACCAGCTGCAGGCACCAGTTTCAAGCGGAGCCCTTGGCCGGCCTCTTCCGGCAGAAGGCTGCCCCGTTCCACAAAAGCGGGTGGCAAGTGAGAGTGCTGAGCTGAGCAGCCCCAGGGCAGAGCAGCCCCAATCCATGGAGGAACGGGGGGGGGGGGGGGGGGGGGGGCCGGGTGCCCGGGGCGGGGGGGGGGGGGGGCGGGACACGGAAGTGCTCAAGACCAAAGCCTTGGAAGCTGGCAGAGCAAAGATCTGGGCAGCGGAGGCTCTGCTGCTCTGGCGTCAGCCCTTTGGACTCAAGGGGCAGCCTGAGAACCAGATAAACCCAGCGGTGTCTTGTGTTCCCCGTGTGGTGCTGCCCTTCTCAGTTCCACCCTGAAGGGGGGATGTGCAGGCAACCTGGGCCAATTCCCCCCCAACCCTTCCCCACCAGGCAGCAAGGATGCAGTGGAAGGGGGTGCTTTGTGCATCCGGAAGACCAGGGTAAAAGGAGGGAGCAGGTGAGAAAAGGGCTTCCCGTGAGGGCATCCGAGGGTGCTAGGAATGGTGAACCACTCACAGAGGGAATAATTGGGCCTGGAACATGGACCTGCCGCCTTGCCACCTTGAATGTGTCCCTGCGGTGCACAGACAGAGCCGGGGGGGGGGGCGGGGGGGGGGGGGGAGGCCCGGAGGGGGGGGGGCGTGGCGGCGGGCCGGGGGGGGAGGGGCGGGGGGGGGGGGGGGGGGGGGGGGGGCGGGAGAAGTCCTGAAGGAGGGGAAGAAGAGCCTCTGCCAGGGCAACCGAGAGATCGGGGGACTGGAGCCCCGGAGGCCAGGAACAGAACTCCAGGAAGGCTCCCACTTTCCTCCCCCAGCCACAAGAGGCAAGACAAGGGGAGGGAAAGCGGGTCCAACTGGCAGCCAACCAAGGTAGCCCTGAGCCGTGTGACCTTGGCGTCTTAGCCTGACCAACAGCCGACAGCCCTCCTACTCTTCCCTCCCGCCAGGAAGAAGAGGTGGTCCGTGAGAGCCGCTTCTACTTCCAGGGCTATGGACTGGGCCATTGCCTGCAGCGCATGAAAACTGGGGCAGCCATGGAAAGCCCCACCTGCAGCCCGCCGGCGCCAGCCTCCCTCCTGCGGGAAGGAGAAATGCTCCGGAGGCGCTACGTGGAGCGGGCCAAGCGCATCGACACCATCTCCCGGGCCGTCTTCCCCTTCGCTTTCCTGCTCTTCAACATCTTCTACTGGGTGCTCTACCGAGTGCTGCACCAAGCGGCCCCTTGAAGCCCAAGGGGCGGGACGTGCCTTTCGGTGGCTTCCTTGGGAGCTTCTGGGCTGGAGGGCAGACACGCCCTGATTCCTTTCCCAAATGCCATGCCGAGACATTTGGCAGACTTTGCACAAGGCCCAGGCTTGCAAAAGAAAGGTATGGGACATGCACCACTGCTGAGCATGATAGGATTTGGGGTGGCCGTATTTCATCAGGAGGAGCACTGCGGGAGGCCGCCTGTCTTTTCTAGAGTTGTGCTTGGGGTCCAGGAAGCCTTGGAAGAATTAAGGAACCACCCAGGCCACCCTCCCTGCCCAGCTTTCCCTTACGGGGGTCCAGCTCCTGTTGGACCTGCCCCACCCCCAAGGGGAGCGCACCCCTGCAAGATTCTCGCACCGCTTTGCAGCAATTCCCAAGAAGAAGTCCCTCCGAGAGCAGCTTTGGTGGTCTGCTGAAGGCAAAGATGGGCAGCTGCTCTAGGAGGTTCCGGAAGGGCTGTGGCTCCTGGTGGCCCCAATGGCCCTGGGAGGGAGTGACCCTCTGCAGCCCCCGCTGCCCCCCTTTCCCACTCTGCAAAGCGGCAGCGGGCACCATGGAACAATTGCCTGCTGTGGTCTGGACACAGCTGGTCTTCATGCAGCCCAAGAGGGCGTCGACTTCTGAGCAGCTGCAAGGCGGGCTTTGCCCCTGTTCGGCCGGCGCTCTCTCGGCCCTCCTCACCTGCCAGTCCAGGCCTGCAGCCAGAGCCAGGAATGGGACTCCAGGCAGCCCACTTGCAGGTCTTCAATTTTGGACCAGCCCGGCGTCCAGGCCTGTCACAGTCCTGTTGAATTGCACCATGAGCCTTCCCTGCCCCCCAGGTGTGATCTGTGGCTGTGACCAGCATCCCTTCCAGGCCATCCTCTGGGCCCCTTCAAGAGACCGTGGATGGTCTGGGCAAAGGAGGGAGCCCTCAGGGCCCCTTTCCTATTTGCAGTCATTGATCCATTGGCCGTGGTGGCTCCGTCCATTGCCAGCCCTCGGACTAGCCTACACCTCCACCTGTAGCCAGGTGGAGGTGCACAAACCCAGCCCCATCGCCTCACCCATCGCCCCCCCCCCAGCCCGCTAAGAGAGAGGGGCCCCTGCAGGCCACAGCGGAGCCGCCTATCTCCCCTCTGCCAGAGCTGTGCCATCCGCGTTCTCACCCTCTCCGGCCCCTGGCAGCAGCCTTGCACGCTTCTTCATGATCACAGCAGTCAAACAACTCTCCACAGGTAACAGTTGCAAACCCTTAAGGCAGTAATTAACAGAATACAACCCAGAGAGGAAACAGGAATAGAAGCAGAGCCCGGCTAGAAGATCCTCTGACAGAGTTCAGCTTTCAGCATTTTTCCCAAATGGCTCAGGGAAGGGGCAGCCGGTCCTGGACTAGGCCCCCCCAGAGCCCTCCCAGAAGGGTTTGGGGCAGGCACTGGGAGCAGCTTCTCCCCACATGGCTGTGCTAATTGCGGTGGGAACGTGCAGGCGCTGAGCTATCGCAGGGCCAGGAAATCCAGGGCCGCCCGACATGAAGGGCGAAATGATCCACCAGCCTGAGAGATGTGCCTGAACCAGGGGCTTATAGGCCAAGGGGGGAGCCACGCCACGAAATGTAGGATGGAAAACATTCGTTTGGCCTCCCTCTCAGAGCACAGCTCTCAGCAGCTCGGTCACTGCTTACTGGCTCCGGAGCTGCCCGAGTGCCAATCAAAGCAGCGTTACGTGCTGTGTGGAGCAGTTATTTTAGAAGTGCCCTTTGCCTCCCTGGTGGCCCTGATGGGTTCACTCCTCTCCCTTCTTGCCTGGGAGCCCCTCAGGTTCCTCCCTTTCCCTGGCACGCTGAGCTTCAGCTGCAAGTGGCCCTACAGAGGCAGGAGCAGCTGGGTGGGCTGCCAAGAAAGAGCAGGAGTGGAAGGCCCCCACCCCAAATGGTTGGACTTTAAGATCCAGCCCTGGGGCTGAGGCAGCCTCTACCAAGCAGGATGAAGCTTATTGGCAGATCTTAACGAAGCTGCCAAGACAGGAGCCATGGAAACCTCACCATTCCTGCCCTCGCCTTCCTGGTGAGGAAAATTGCATGTTGCCTAAGAAATCAATCTTACGCCCGAAAAAGACACGCCAAAACTCCTGAAGTGTGACAGTTGAACAACAGCAGTGAGGAAGGAAGGGCCCCGTTGAAAGGCCAAAGAAGATAAGGGGCAATGGTTGCACTGGGGCTGAAATAGATGCCCCAGGAGCAGCCCAGGCCTCGCAGGGGCCCTGAAGTCCAATGGGGCTGAGGCTGGCCGCTTCCTTCCCCATCTCCCCAGCTCACTGCAGTGCCTCTACCTGAGCCGCACCACATTTTTCTTCCCTGCTACTGTCCAGTTTGCTGACCAGACATGTATCCTCCCACTTGTGAGTTTTCCCAGGAGTGGAAGATCCAGCAGCCGAGAGCAATGTCTGTCCATTTCCCGGAGAAAGCTGTAGCTTGTCTGCCTGCATGGTTTTGCCAAGTAGAAACGGTCCCCGTTCCCGTCATCTGCAAGCACCAAATGAGAGTTTGAAAACAACGTATTTCTAAACCACTCTGCTTTTCCTGTAGAAATAAAGTGCTGTGGGGATTTTATTTCAAGTTGTTGTTTTTTTCAATTGGGAAAAGACTCCCACTGTCAAAGTGGCAAGGAATGCCTAGACCAGGAGCCAGATCTGAGCCGCCTAACCCCTCGTGGGCAGAAAACTGCTCCCAGCCTTAGGGGGATGGGATTTGGGGTTGCCGCTTCTGAAACTGGCTGGTGTAGGTGCAACCTCCTTGCGTCCTTGATTGATTTTGGTTGATTTCTTGGTTCATTTCTGCCTGCAGGCTGGTGAGCCTGTTGCTCCAGGCTGCGCGAGTGATGCCAAGAAGGGGCCCGATGTGGCTCTGAGCTCCTGAAGGCAAAATTTCCTTTCCACAGCAGAGATGGAGTGACAGTGATTTCTCTCTCCCCAAACCTTGGGAAAGTGGAGGCATGGAGAGCTCTGAACCCCCCTGTTGGTTCCTGGCTGACCGAGGGCCAAACGCAGAAGGAGGGGCTGCTGGAGAGAAGGCCAAGTGGCAGGACTGCGTGCCCAGGACTCTTCCTGGCAGGAGAAAGAGGTCTCCTTTGAAGATGACGCTGCGAACAGCCCCTCCTACACCCTCTTCTACCAACATAGCTCTGTGTTCTCCTTCCTTTGACACCCTCTGGACACCAGGACAGGAGGGCAAAAGGGTCGGGCCTCCTCCTCCTCCTCCTCCTCCTCCTCCTGGCCAGATGCCAGCTTTAGAGAATGGTCAATTGTTTTGGAGCCTTTGCCTCAGACAAGCAGCCCACAGTACCAGGAAGGGCTGGCACGCCTGGCGACAGCTGGCACCATAGCAAGATGGCCTTCGCCGCTGAGCCCGCTTCTCTGAAGCAAGCCTCCGCCTTCCCTCCTGCAGCAGAGGGGAGCCTCCTGTGAGCTGCCCTGGCTCTTCTCCTACCCTGCCCGGCTGCTCCTGAGATGTCCCTTCCGCCCAGCGCTGGCTTCCCCCCAAGGGGGCCTTTTCTGCATAGGTGTACCCGGGCAAGATGAGCCAGGGGCAGCGAGCCCAGGGTCCTTCCTGCCCTTTTCAACTCCCAGGCCTATGTGGCTAGCAAGCCTCAACTCCCACAGCAACATTCAAGGGAAAAACTGGCACTGAGAGAAGCCCAAAGGGGTCTTTACCACTCACCGGGGGGGGGGGGTTGTGGAGGAGGAAGATGGGCTGGATACGCTCACCACCTTGAACTATGTATAGAAATAAAAAAGGCAAGATACCAATAAATAAATGTGGACTGAGGACCATCAGCTGCTGGTAGATTGGATTCTTGCCCCCCCCTGCTTTGCCTGCCACTGGGCTTCTCCCACCTTTGGGGCCCCTCCTTCGGCTCCACCCACCAGCAGCAGCTCTATCGACTTCCATCCCCCGGAGACCCCGGCCCTCGGCTAAAGGACCACCTTTCCCAGCAGCTGCATAGCCCTGTCAAGCAGTCCGGGAGAGTCCTGGGTGCCCCAGAAGGGGTGGCCAGTGCCTCATCCATTCCTTCCTCTCCTGTTAACTCAAGGTCTCTCCAGAAGAAGAGCCAGAACTAAGCTACACAAATAACCACAGCTATCACCACTGCCTCCGGCCCCCAACCTTGCAGGGGGGCCCCAGAAGGTACCTCAGTCAATTCTACCTTGACCTGTTGAGGGATCCAGCAGGGTCCAAAGGACTGGACCCCTCCGTCTGTGTCTCCCCTCAGAAAGAATAGGGGGGCAGCGCAAGAGATGCTTTAAAATTCACCCCCAGAGCCACCCATGCTCTAAGAGGCAGAAGCGGGCATATTGCCCAATTCCAATATTTCCTTTCCTGATTTACATCCCTCCTTTTCTCCAAAGCTCAAGATAGCATGAATAGCGCTTACGCTTCATTTTCCCCCTGCAACATTCCTGTGAGCTCAATTGAGCCGAAACAAAGTCACTCGGTGATTTGGACCAGAGCCTCCCTTTGCCCATCTTGTCCCCAAACTGGCTCTCAAAAGAGGGGACGGACTTATCCCACAGGGCACCAGAGGGCAGGAGGAGGAATGGGTGGAAGCTTGTCAGAGAGAGAGGCAACCTAGAAGGGAGGGAGGGGAAGCTTTTGGACAGGGAGACCAGCTCGCCTCCTGGGCTGCTCCACGGCTGGAGGTTTTCCAAAGGGGGCTGGGCAGCCATTGGTCTGGGGCAATGATACGGGAGGCCCCCCTCCAGCTCCCATTCGGTGTGCAGTCTTGGCTTCAAAACCCTCCTTTGACCTGGGGCAGGGGAAGAGCTATTCCCTTCTGCTCGCCATCCCAGAAGAGGGTTGGTTTCTGCATGCAAAGCGGCCTGGTCTTATTTAAGGTTGAGAAAGATGAAGGCCGCCCTACTTGGTCCTGCCTGCTCTGCATTGCTGCCCCCTGGTGGCCAGAAGAGGAAGCTCAACAAGACAGGGAAAGCTAAAGCAATTGCTGGAAGTGCCCCTAGAAATTACAATTTAACAGAGTTTTTATCTGTTAGATTATAATTTCTAGTGGTACTTCCAGCAATCTGAGAATAAAAAGAAAAAACAAGTGCAGAAAACAGGGCAGGAGAGGAAAAAAGTCACATAAAGAAGTAACTTCCCCTTATCACAAGAAATACATTTTTTTTAATAACATCACCTTCTCTTAAAACACAGCAAACCCTTTCTTCCCATTCTCATCTCTTAATCATAAACAGAACCCTAATACATTATTCCTGGTACAGCGAAAGTCCATTAAAGGTTAGCAGAGATAACTACATACCTATTTAAAAAAATAAATCCAGTACAGAAACATTATCCAAATCACTCTTGTTTGTTATTCATATGTCCATTTAATTATTAACATGTCAATCAGTTTCACTTGAATGTCTAATATAAACACGTTTTCCTTGTCATTGTTAGCTCATCATTCTTAAATCCACACTGTTCCATCTCGGTCTTATCCAGTACAGCTGATGTGCCCCTTCTGCAACTTTCTTTGTGTGTATGCAGTCTAACATTCTTAAAATTAACTTCTGAGTCCATTGTTCACAAAGTCATTGATGGCTTTGGAAGGGGGCGGGTGCGCATCCCAACTGCGGGACTCGCGGGGCCGCCTCTGACCTGCCAGCTGCTGTTTGGGCAACCAGGGTGGGACTCGGGCTCGAGGGCCCCCTGCTGGACATGGAGGAAGCAGCTGGGAGCCGACCTTTCGCCCGGCAGGGAAAGCAGGGCTAGGAAGGCCAGCATCCCACGGAGCCAAGTGCAAAATGCTGGCCCCAGAGCAGAACCCGTTGCAGGGGCTTGTGCGGCCCGGGCGTCACAGCCTTCGCCTTAGAAGAGGCCGCGGGCATCTCCCGCGAAGTCTGACGTCGCCCTCCTCTCCCGAGAGAGCTTGGCCGGTCACTGGAGGAGGTGAGGGTGTCTAATTTCGCATCGGAGGCTGGGTGGGTCTTCTGAAGCATGTCCGAGCACGTGGGCTGCGGGGCCTCCCCCCACCCCCCGTGACCCTGAATGCCAGAAGGACAGGTGAGCCTCCCCCAGGGCGCCTTGCCTGCTTTGGGGGCATCCATCCGCTCTTCCCAGCTCACCACAGCGAGCTCTCCTCTCCTAAACCTGGCGGGCGCGGCGCGGCGCGGGGCGCAGGGTTGGAAGCAACCAGGGACCCGTTGAGAGGAGAGAGGCCAGAGCCCGGGCTGGCCAACAAAGGTTTCGCGGCCGCCCGCCAGCAGGCGCACCGGAGAGCGGACCGGCGGGAGCAGGCGGAGCGCGCACCTCTCCCCCCGCCCCGCCTCCAGCGCCCCGCCCCAGCCGCTGGGGAGGCTCCGACCCCGAGGCCGGCCTTGTGTCGGCTGAACGCGCCCGGGGGCGGTGACCGAGCAGCCTTCCCCAATCCGGTCCGGTGCCGAAGGAAGGGGGCGGAGCGGGAGGCAAAGGGGGGCTGTTGGCCGAACAGTCCGGAGGGGAAAGCGAAGCCGAGCGCAGAGGGAGCGGCGAGGTCCCGACCGATCCAGCAAGTAGCCGAGGCCGCGGGGAGACCTTGCCGACACCTCCTGGCCAGAAGGGAGGGCAGCGGCCGAGCCAGCGCCTCGGGGCGAAGTGCCTGTCCCCGAGCGCCGGCGAAGCGGGGCGGTCTCCAGCTGCCCCAGCCACCTCTCCGCGCCGCCAGCTTCGCCTCCTGACAGGACAGGAATGTCGAGCTCCCCGCTGAAGGAGCGCCGCTCGCCGGTGGGGCTGGATTGCTGCAGCTGCTGCCTGGATCTGGCCAACGGCCCCCTCGGCTACAACAGCCATTTGAGCGCCCTCCTCCAGCTGCGCGAGCAACTGGCGTGCGAGAGCCTCGGAGCCGCCTCCGAGCTGAGGCGCCTCATGCGGCAGGACTCCCTGGAGCCGGTGGTGCGCGACCCCCGTTACCTTCTCAGCCGCGGGATCTGCAACCGGAACATCGACCAGACGCTGCTCTCCATCCTGCTCTTCTTCCACAGGTGGGCAGGGGTCGCGGGACGGCTCCCGGGGAGGGAACTCCCGGTGAAGCGGCGAGGGGAAGGCCCTTTGCCTGGGGAGGGAGGGGGGGGAGGGAGGGCGGACCGATCGCAAATGGGTTGCGGGGAGAGCCACGCAGACCTAGACGGCAAGGTCCTTTCTGACGGCTTCCTGGATGGGGCCGGGACCCTTCGCAGCTCAGGACGTCTCCCTGCTCGCTTGGCCTGAAAATGCTGCGGAGCCATCCTGGGTAAGAGGAGGGCACGGGGCCTGCGTTGCCTCGGCTCCGGGCCTCCCATCCGTGGGCAGCCACAGGCGCCGAGAAGAGCCTGGTCTCCCCATCGCTATCAGCTTGTGCGAAGCAAGAAATGGCCTGATGATCCCAGGGGCTGCCTGACCCCGCAAGGGCGGCTTAAGCGACCATACAAGCTGCTGGAGCCTGGCAGGTGTCCGAGGGGACTTTGCCCCGGGAGGGCCTGTGGGTCGCTGGTGGCTGACCAGTCCTGCCTTCGGAGTGGGCGGGGCCTCTTTCCCAGGAAAAAGGACACCGGGGTTGGTTGCCTGATGCAGGGGAGGCAGGTCTCCTCGTGACAGGCTGGGTGAGGCTCCCTGCCTCTGATCTTGGAGGGACTGCAGTCTGAGTGCTGCCAGGGAAGGGCTTGCTCTGGGGCAAAGGAGCCGGCAGGGAATAGGCTCCAGCCGGGCTGCCCCTCTGCCTCAAGCACCCCCGCCAATTGGGAGTCCATCCCCCAGGGCAGCTGAGACTTATCAGGGGTTTCCCTGGAGAGCTGGTGCACTGTGCCCCCTCCCTTGGTGGCATAGGCCAGGGAGTGTGAGAGCCTGGCATGATCAAAGTCCTGGGGTGAGCATGTTGGTCACAGCTGGGCTTGTTTAGGTGGGAGCCACTCATATCAGCTGCTCAGGTGAGCAGGACTCTCCTGCTCCCTCTGAGACCTCCTTCGCCTGAGAAGATCCTGGCAACTATTCCTCCCAAATACACAATCAAAGAGATTGGCACCTGGGCAGCAAAACATGCCTCCCCCTCCTCTTTGGCGCCTTCTAGGTATGCAAGGTCCACGCGGGCTGTGAGGCCACGAAGGGGGAAGGGCTGCCAATTCTGAAAAGACTCCCCAGCTCTCCTCAGACCTTCCGGCCAGAAGTGGGGCTCCTGGTTTCACTGATGGTATCATCAAGCTTGGCTACATGAAGTCTCTTCTGCTTGGCCTTCTGGGCCAAGTTTCCTTAAGCAGCGCCCAGAGTCTCGCCCTGCACTAAGCTGGCCGGAGCAGGTGGCTCCGTTTCAGAGGCTTGGAACTTGTCCTCTGTGGGCTCCTTTGACACCGCAGGTACCGCTGAGGAGAAGGACTAGGCCGGTCACCTAGCAGCTTCGAGCTTTCAAGAGACGTTCCTGGGGCTGAATTTGATCAAAGGAGACGCAGTTGGAGATGGCCAAGGCCTTGCAGTCAGGAGTGTGCAGGAAGAGCCAAACTCTGGGATGGAGGTCCCATGGCTGTGATGGAGTTGCACAGGACAGTCAAAGGCTTGCTTCAGAGGGAGTGACGGGTTGGGAGCACCGAGTTTTTCTGTCTTGGTCAGAGACTATGGGGATGGCAGACATCCAGATGTGAGACGGGCTGAATGGGGTGCAGGTGTTAGCACAACGGGCATGGCAACTTTTGGGGAAGGCAAAGGTGGCCACAACTGATACCTGGCTCAAGGCAATTGGGCTTCTACTTGGGGAGATGGGTGGTGGCGACAAGCCATCCGCATTGTTTCTTCTGCTGGGCCCCCAACTAGAAGACAGATCTCCCAGGTCCCCTCTCTCAACCCGCTTTCTCGGCAGGACTGGGCTGGGAGGGGCTATGAGCACCACTCCCAGCGCCCATGACTCCAAAGGGACAGGGCTCGGCAGGATCCCCTCAGCTGAGTGAAGAGCACTTCACCATGGCACCCACAAAGCAGCTGGCAGGTTTAACTGCTCCCACACGGAATGAATGGGATCAGCGGTGCCAGAGAAGGAACCACTCAGCCACCAGGGCCGTGAAGGCGAACCTATGGCACGCGTGCCACAAGTGGCACACAAAGCCATTTGTGCCGGCACACGAGCTGCAGGCAAACTTACCTCACTGGGCACGCGCACACCTCACAGCTGATTTTCGGCCAGTTTGAGACCTTTTTCAGCCTCCCAAAGGCTTGAGGAAGGCTTCTGCAGGCTTTGCGGGCTGAAAACTAGCCCCATTTTGTCACTTCCTATTTTTCCGAAAATACCGGAAGTGATGAAACGGGGCTAGTTTTCGGCCTGTAGAAGCCTCCCTCAAGCCTCTGGGAGGCCAAAAAAGGCCTCAAACCAGCTGAAAATCAGCTGTGAGGCACAGTGCAGATAAGGAAGGCTTTGTTTTTGGCCATGACGGCCTCCTGCAGTCCTTTGCCAGTGAAAAAGGACCCCGGGTGGGCTGCATGCGGCCTCCCCAAGCTCCCTTTTTGCTGGCAGAGGCACCGCAGGCTGGTCCTTCACCGTTTCTGGGACAGGCCCATGGGCCAGATCTGAGCACCCCACGGATCCCTGAGTTTGACACCCCTGCTTTGGATGCATGTATGGAAGCATGAAGCCATTTATGGATGCGAGAGACCTTGAGCGCAGGGAGTGGGGACTTGCGTTTAAAAGCCAGGCAAAAGCAGGGTGAATGCTGGTCACTTGCTAGGGAAGAAGCTGGGGTGGCCTGGGATTTGGGGAGGAGAGTGAGGTCAGCCAAAGGGAGCAGAGAGAAGGCGTTTTTACAAATCTCAGCTTGTTGCAAGGGGGGCATTCAGACCCTTTTCCTGGGCTTGGCACACGTTTCCAACAACTGACCCACAACTCGCAATGCTGCTACTGCTCTGTTCTCCAGGGAAGTGGCAACCTCTAGGCCTGCCAGCTCCCTGGACAGGGGGCCATTTCTCTGTGCTCCCCAGGAGCCCCCATACTCTCTTGATTTTACAGCCAGCTGAGTGGGCAGCTGCTAAAGGAGTCTTCTCCTCACCCCCAGCCCTGCATTGGGATATGATCCAGGAGGAGAAGTTTATCAAAACGTGGGGTGCTCTTCTGCCTAAGCCAGTTATGGGCCCCAAAGAGTGGCTGAACCTCAGAGAATAATATCCGATTCAGAGAGTGGATTTGCATTCACACCATATATCAAGCCAGAACATCTTTTCTGATTGGCAAGCTAGGATTTGTGGTTTAGTATGCATGGCGAGGGGACGCCCCCACCCCACCAAGCTGCCCAAATCTTTCAGGTAGCAGGAAGGTTACCTAGGGGCTACAGAAACCCACTAGCTAAAACGTGCTGGTGCCGACACATCCTTGTGTATTCAAGTGGTACCAATAGAAACAGGATAGGTGTGTTGCCATGACTGCATAGTGAGCCGGTTCCCATGTAGAGGACAACGCCTGGGAAGGCTCGGTTTTCAGTGCCCTGATTTGAAAACAAACCTTTAAGATGACAGCACAGCAGAGCTTGCTCAGCCGGTCCTGTTCTGTGGTTTAGCAATGGGGGATGTTAAAAAGAGAGTATGGGGCAGCAGGTGGGTTCCCTCTGTGCCCCCTCTAGCCCCTCTTTGTAGCTCTTTTTGCCCTTTCAAAAAGTCTCCTTTTCAGTCCTGTGAAGGAAGAGGTCCCCACCTGAAATGGGCTCCCCCGCCCCACCTCCCCCTGAGGGAATACCTTCCTTTAGGCAACCTAGTTGCAGGGCCCTTGATGAGGCCAGCCAAAGAGGGCGGGGCCGCTGCCCCCTTAATAGCCTGAAGAGTGTGGAGGTGGAAGGGAATTCCTTCTGGTTCCCAGGCTGTGCAGTGAGCGAGCACAAGGCAGCCATGTGCTGTAGACCCCGCCCAGGCCACGTGCTGGCCTGCCAAGAAGCCCAGAACTGGGAGTTCTGCCAAGGCCTCCATCAAAGGGAGTGGCCGCCAAGCAGCTGGAAACAGAGCCAGCCAGCAAGTCCTCGCTCTGAGACAAGTGGAGGAAGAGAGCCTGGTTTGATAGAGGTTGGCACAGCCGCTGCTTCCCCAGGAAAGCCACCTCGTCCTCCCACCTCTCTGGAGCTGCTGTCTCCTCCAGCCACTGGCTGGATCCCGAGCAGCATTCCCCTTTACTGCCAGAGGGCACCGATGGCAGGTGCCCACCACGGGGGTTCTGCCCCGCAGAGGACTCTGCGCATATCAACAAGCACAGGCCTTGGTCTGTTCACCTGCCACCACAAGTCCTCTTGCTGCCTGCAGGGAAGACCCCACCCCGCCTTGGGGAGCAGTGTTGGTGGAAAAGGGAAAGACACACCTGCCCTGATGCCAGCAGGAGAGTCCAGAGCACTCTGGCAGGGCAGGGCTAAGGAACAGAGCCTGCTGCGCCCCCTCCCCCCAAGATCCCAGGCAAGAGTGGCCTGCGGAGGGAGGGGGCTCCCTTCCCCTTTCCCTCTGCCCACGACTGCTTCCTGGGCCAGAGGGGGGCCAGGAGTGGGAGGAGGTGGTTTTGGAGGCTCTCAGAGCTGGGGGAGGAGCCCTCTCTTCCTCTCGGGAGAGGCGGGAGGGCCGGCACAGGGAGCGGCCGCCAGAGGTTCCCCTCCCGCGCTCCCAGAGCCGCTGCTTGGCGCACCTCCGGCCTGTCCAGTGGCGGCGGCGGCGGCGGCGGCGGCAGCAGCAGCAGCAGCAGCACCACCACCACCACCATGATGTTTGGGTGGCTTCTTACGTAACTCCAACCTCGACCTAGTTCCGCGCTGCGCTTGGGCAATCCTTGCCGTTTCGGACTCGGCCTCCGTTTTTGCCACGCCTTCGCTAGTAGCCAAGGCAGGTTCCGTGGGGGCAGCGGTTACCAGGGTTCTCCAGGGGCCGCAAGTGTGAATGCGGGGGGTGAGGAGGGGGCAAGCGGCCTTGTCCCGCATGGCTCCTGCAGCCCCGGGACTTGCCTCCGAGTCCCGAGCGGGGGAGGGGGGGGGAATGAAGCTACCCGCTTTCCCGACCGGTCTGGCGCCGCAGAAATGGGGAAAGCGAAGCGCTGCTCCCGCGGAGAGCCCAGGGCCAGCAGCGTCTCCAACCCGGTGCCCTTCAGGTGCCTTGGCCCTATTGCCCCCATTTGCAGCCGCCGCCACTGCGCCTTCGGCCCTGGGACTGCAGCTCCCTCGAGGCTGAGGCGGCTGGATTGCACCGAAGCCTCCGGGCGCAGGTGCGCGCGGCCCCTCAGGAGGGGCGTGGCCTTATTTGCATAGCACGCTAAGACCATGTGACGTCTGGCGAGCTTCCCTATATAAGGCGGGCGAACACCGAAATAGCCGCAGCGTCTTCCGGTCGTGGTACTGTGTCCCTTCGGCTCTCGGCCCAGCCATGAGTACCGGCGTGTACCCGTTCCCGATGGAGGTGGCTGTCTACCAGCTGCACAACTTCTCCATCTCCTTCTTCTCCTCCTTGCTGGGGGGGGACGTGGTCTCGGTCAAGCTAGACAACAGGTAGAGGAGCCGTCGGGCGGGGGAGCGGGGGAGCCGGCCAGGCCCGCCGGTCTGCCTCGGAGGCTGACGGCGGCGCTCTTCTCTTGTCTCTTGCAGCGCGTCCGGGGCCAGCGTGGTCGCCATCGACAACAAGATCGAGCAGGCCATGGTGAGTGTCTCGGGGGGAGGCGGGGACGGGCTGCGCTGCGGCTCCGCGGCACTTGCTGGCGGAGAGGAGGCGAGGGAGCCGAAAGAAACTGCCGGGGTAGTTGCGGTCGGGTCAGGGGCTGCAGTCCCGCAGGGAGAGCTCAGCGGAGAGAGGCGAGACCGGAGGCCTTCCAGCTCCTGCCGTTCAGTTTTCGGGGGCGCCGAGGCTTCGGAGTAATGGTCGGGCCAGCCAGAGGCCACGGGCGTCCCCTCTCCCCTGAGGTGCCTCTGTCCTGGAGGGCGGCAGGCGCGCCGCCGCGTTGAGCTGCGGCTCTCGCGGGCGGGCGCGCGCGCTGATGCAAGAATGCAGGCTCTGCGCTTTGGGGAGGACTCGAGCCGCTCGGACTTTTGTCGGGCAGCGCGGCTGCGGTGGGCGGGACTCGCGCAGAAGCTGCCGTTGCGTTTCCTCACCGGGACTTTGTCCCTCCTCTTTCCAGGATCTGGTCAAGAATCACCTGATGTACGCCGTGCGAGAGGAGGTGGAGGTCCTGAAGGAGCAGATCAAGGAGCTGGCAGAGAAGAACTCCCGCCTGGAGCTGGAGAACAGCTTGCTGAAGAACCTGGCCAGCCCTGAGCAGCTGCAGAAGTTCCACTCCCACCTGCCCCTGGAGGCTCCAGCCGGCCCCGAGGAGAAGAGCCCATGTGCCCCAGCCCAACACAGGGCGGGCTCTGCAGTGTAAGGTGGCTCTGTCCATGGGGTGGGCAGAGCCACGGAACTGTTTCAACTTGATCTCCAAGCGAATGTGGTTTCCTCGCATCTTCTTTGGAGGACTCCAGAGGGGGCCCTTCACCTGCGGCCCCTTCCTTGGGTTGGCCAGAGACACTCCTGAGAAAAAGGAGTAAGGCTGCTCTGGCGTTGCTGCGGGCGTATGGCTGCTCCCCACTAGAGGAGAGAAACTGCTGAAGGTGGGGGCACCGACAGCTGGCTAAGAAGAATCCAGTTGGAGGTTTTTGTCAAGCTGCTCAGAGAAAAGGTGGCCCCCATCTCTCCGGGGATAGGAACGGGGCCCCTGCCCCTCACTAGCCCTCTTGCTCCAAGAGCCAGGCGTCTGTGTGCAGCACCCACCTGTTGCCAACTTGGGCATGTGGGGAGCTGCCACGATGCGGACTAGAATGAGGACTGTAAGCCAGAGGACAGGGGCTTCTCCTGCTGTGGTTTGTCCGTTGACACTTGTATACTGACAACGGGGGGGGGGGAGAGAAAGACATCCTCTCCTTTATCGATGTTCCCTGCAGCCCCTGGATCTGTCGATGGGGACAAAAGAGGAGCAGGAGGAGGGGGCTAGGGGGCTCTCTCTCACACGCACCCCTGGGAGGGGAAGCTTGCTTCTGTAGCGCACTCTGAGGATGGGTGCATAATGAGATAATGCAATAAATTTTGTTGTACACACCTGTCTAATAAATTTTCTTTCCCAAGGGGAGGGGTATGCAGAAATGTGTAGTGGACACTGGCAGAGGGACCAAGCATAGGAGGCATGTGGGAAAGGCATCCCAATTTCTCCACCCCCAACCCAATTCGTATGGCTGGGAAGAAACCAGGAGGGGAGTTTCTCCAGTGACTAGGGGAATCTCCAAGGACCTGCTACCTGGTTAGGCTGCAGCTTGCCCATTATTCATTGGAAAATTGTATGTGCGTGTACGGGCATCTTGGTGGCTGGTGCAGAACTGCTACCTTTCAGCATTAATACAAACTGCTGTATTCATGGTAATAGCTACGATTAATCTGCTTGTACTTTGTTCAACCCAATTTTGGCTTCTTCGGTGAAATCCTAAATTAGGGCTGAAGATGGGACACTACCAAGCTGCTGCAACCAGCCCCCTGCCGTCATTGCCCCAAGCTGAGCTGCCCCCCTCCCCCTCCCTGCAAAAACAGAGAGGACTCTTAGAACAATCAAAGACGCCCCTGATCTTGGTCATGCAGCTGTTTTGAAGGGTAACTGAAGTGGGGCAGAGGCCAGCATCCTGCAGGCTCAAGAGTTGGGGTGCTTGCATACACCACCCCATCCCACCCCTGTTGAGAAAGCAGCGGCCACCAGCCAGGAACTCTATGGAGCGCATGGATGCTTGTAGGTAGAGCCTTGCCAGCTGCAGAAGCGCTTTTCCCAGCTGTGATTACCAGCTACACCTCATTTGGTGTGACTGGTGATCACTGGGAGCCCACTTCCCACTGGAGAGGTGGGTTCAAGAGAGGCAGGGGTCATAATGGCCACTTTCAAAGGCCGGATTGCACACCTCCACGCATGCTGTCTGGTTTGCAAAGCTCAGCTCAGCCCAGCATTTGGCTTTGATGGGGAAGGTCTGAAGGGCGCTTCCCTCTGGGCCCTGGGAGCACCTCTGCTTGCCAAGAGGTGCCCAGTAAAGAGATTGGACGGCTTGACCGACCACCCTTGGGGCAAGATCAGCAGCTGTGAGCTGTGGAAGGCAGCCCCGGCACTGCTCCAACTGCTAAAGTTGGGGAAGCCGGCCGCCCCGACGCCTCCTCAAAGGTGCTTTTTGCTAGAAACAGCGACTCGGAGCAGTGAATGGCGGCTGATGGGAAACGAGCCGGGAGATACAGAGGCTGATCGCCTCCGCGCCCTGGGGACTAGCGGCCCGGCCCGATCTCCACCTCGTCCCCGACAACCAGTCCTTCTCGCGCCGCTCCAGCCCGGCCCCTTCGAGCCCGGCCTCCGTTCCTCGCTGCTCCACTTCCCCGCGCATCCGCTGGGCCCGGGGGCTGCGGCTGTTCCAGGGCGCGCCGCGTGTTTGTTTGTCGGCTCCATGGAGCCAAGCGGGGGCGCGCCTTCCGCAGAGCTGGGGAACTGGCCGACGGCGCCCCCCACCCGCTCGCGGCTTGTTTTGCAAACGACCGGCCGGTCACCACAGCAACCAGCTGGCAAGAGGCTGCCTGGCCAATGGCGGGCCCGGGAGAAGGCAGGTGATCTGACGTTGCCGCCGCACAGCTTCCTTTGGGGCGGGCTGCCGTCCCGCCGCTCTCCCGGTCGATGCCGGGGCATCTTCCCTTCTGCGTTCGGGGCGTTTGGGCCGTGAGCGGGGAGGTCGGGAGGAGGCGTCCCGATGCTGGGGCCGGTTCCCTCCACCTGGCTTGATCTGACGGTTGCCGCTTCTTCCGGCTGCTGGGGAATTATGGGAGATAGGATCTCAGCCCCACCCAGGCGCTTCGGTTGCGGAAAGCACAGCTGGGGCTTGCTTAGGATTGCTTGCAATGGCCCGGTTTGGCAGCTCGCTTAGAGAGGTAGGGGGGGATCGGTCCCTTCTCTTTGGCTGTCATACCCAACGCCCTTTTGCGGAAGGAAGCGAAAGAGCCACGGTGGGTCTGCCTGGAGCCCTGGGCTGGACAAGGTCAGAGGGCTCACCCGCCCGCCCGCCCTCCCTCCAACAGGACACGCTGCACTGCCCAGTTCAGAGAAACGGCTGAGCTTTGGCCAGAAGTGGTCGATAAATTGATTCTGTCACCTGTGGCTGGAGGACAGACAAAGCCTGGCTGAGTGCCAGGGCCCCAATTGGAGGGGAGCACTTTCCTGGGGTGGTCTGATCCAAGACTACTGTCATTTTGAAACCTATTCTGCTGCATAACAATGGTGAAGAACAAGAGACAAAACTTCCTCTCTCCCTCCCTCCCTCTCTCTCTCTCTCACACACACACACCTGTTATTAACCTAGTAATGGAGAAGCACCAGATTCAGCAGGAAGAGAGAACTGCCATAGTATCCATACCCATCTAACCTGGTCCCCCCACCCCCAAGTCTCAGGTCTGAGCTTCATGGCCGAGGCTTCTCGTCCCCAAAGCTGGCCCTAGAGAGGGGGCCCTGGGACCCTGGTTCTGAGCCAGCGCCCTTTAGATGCAGTGGGGCTAGGGGAGCGAAAGGCTGGCAGGGAGGGATGTCTGCAGGCCTCTGGGAAGAGGTCGGTGAAGCAGATGCTCTTCCAGTGAGCCAGGTGCCAGCCGGAGGAGACCTTTCCTGGGCCCCTTGGTGGCCCCCAGCCTCCCTCCAAAGGCTTTGGGCCCTGGAGGCGAGGAATGTCCTTCATCCCCTGCCGATGGTGTGCAGAGAAGAGTTGGAGGGGTGGGGGTGAGGGCGTAGATTGCCCTGCCCTGTTGCATCCCAGCCTTATTCTGGGTTCTTAACTGATCCACGATGTTTAACTTTCTAAAGTTTCACCTGTTGTCAAAAGGAGGTCAGTTCCCACTGCTGGAGCCGGACAAGGGCTCAAGGGGGGCTCTTCCACCACAGCAGTGCCCAAGAGCCCCACCTGCCCCCCCCAAAGCGGGAGGAGAGCCCTGATCTGGGCCAGACCTCCCCGCACCGGATCCCAGTCAGCTCAGGGGGGAAAGGGGGCTGCAGACGGCTCCTGCCCCAGAGTGTTGGTGAGCTGCTACTTCTGCCTCCGCAGACCTCGCTCCCAATGGCAGCACAAGCAGTCCAGTTATGTAAGCAGACAGCAGACTCGCCTTCCTGTGTAAACACGGCTGAGCCCGGTTTGCTTCCTGGGAAAGAAGGCTGGAGGGCACAAGGCATCCCACGGGCCCAGGCTCTGCCTTCCTCCTGCCGGGCATGCTTGCGGGGCTGTGGGCTGGTGTGGAGCTCCCCCAACCAGCAGTTGAGGTGTGCAGAAAGAGCAGTTCCCCGGTCAAGATGACCTCTGGTTGCCCCAGGAAGTGGGGGCCAAAAGACCTGGGGGGGGGAAGGGAAATCTCCCCGATCCCTCTACTGCCTCAGCCTTTGTCCCTGCAAGCTTCCAGGCTGGTTTATGCTCTGGGGTGGTTTTATGGTCCTTGCTGACCCTTGGCTCAGGCCCGAGTGCAGCCAAGTGAAGCTGGGGCAATTTGGAGCTGCTCCAGCACTGTGTCTGGGTCCCCCTCCGGAACTGCTCCCCACCCCTCTCAGGCCTTCTCCCACTCCTCCTGGCACCCCAGTTAGAAGCCAAGGGCTTGGAATGGGCCGCAATGCTCATGGGTGACTGGGATCTTCTCATCAAGTTGGATAATTGGAGGGAGGCGTTGTCCCTTGAGGGTGGCTACTTTGCTTGGGCCCTCCTACGATGCCTTCCCCTTCCTTCCCCCGAGAGCCACGGTTTCTCCCAACCCAGAGCTGGGCCTCTGTTGGCCTGTGCTGGAGGCAGCCAAGGGAGGGAGAGCCCTGTGCCTTCGATGTGGCTCTCCTCGGCATAGCCCTTCGCCCGCCTGCCATTCCTGCAGCAGTGCCCAGAGAGGGAGCCTGGACACCCTGAGCCATGTGGGTCACCGCCCTCCACAAACAAACCCTGGCATGCCCTAGAAACCCAGATTTCCTACGTAAGCAGCTGCACATTTTCACACAAGGGGGTCCCTGGAACTCAGGAGATCCACTTCCTGAAGTTGTAGGGTAGCAGTATTCTCCAGTGGCCCCTTTCTGGAGCAGTGGGCACTATGGGTGTCTTGCTATCGGTATATTTACAGTACACTTAATGAATTATTCTTTCTTGCAAGATCTGAGTGTAACGTTCAAAGGTCCCTTCCCTGCTCGGGAGATTAGGGGGAGTGACCGGCCCAGGGAAACTGCCAATTTTGGCCAGGCTGGGATCTGACTGCCCACTTGCCAAGGGGTCCAAGCCCAGTGGCCTCAGCAAAGCTGTTTCTCTGCATTCACTAGGAAGGCAGATTGACCCTGCCCTCTGCCCTCTCCAGACCCCCGCCCCCCAGGGTTTTCTTTCCTGGTGGCTGGAAGGCTCAAGAGAGACAGAGTCCCTACACACACACACACAAACGCACACACGTACCCATGCACACATGGTGGGAGAGCCTTTGTGCCCAACCAAGGACTCAGGGGCCCAAATGGGAGCCAGTCTCTGCAGCTACAATTCCCTCCAGATGGAGAGGGGCATAGAAACATGGCCTGGCAGGGGTGGTGTTAATGCACTGGCAGCCTCTCTCGAGTTTCGGGGTGCCTTTGGGGATCTTCAAAGCCAGGAGGACTTCAGCCCCACCTCTTGGGAGCCAAGGTGAAAAGGATCCGATCGGAGAAATCTGGAGCTCCTCTAGTGCTCCACAAAGGAGGGGGCCACAGGCTGGATTCCCAGAGGAGCCCCCCCACCCCGCCCCTGCTCCCCTGGCCGGTCAGGCAGCTCTGGCACCCGCCGTGCCTGAATTCCCAGGATCGCATCATCTGGAAGGAATCAGGGCAGCTGTCCGTGAAGGGAGAGCAGGAAATGCTATTTATAGATCAAAGGTTGAAAACAACCACCACCCCGCTGAGCCAAAGTTCTCCCTGTTTTTCTGAAGCTTTCCCCCCGTTTCTTCTCTTCTGGGATGTTCTAAGTCCATCCCAATTTTCCACTGGGCAAGAGCCCAGGGACACATTTCTTGGAAGCTCTGGCTCGGTGTGGCCTAGAAGCGGCTTCTGCTGAT